TTTCCTCTAAAATAGAGATAAATTGAAGATGCTCTAAAAGCAATTCTTCTATTATTTATATATTTTTCAGTCTAAGACTTATTTGTGTTAATTAAGTTGAGTTTCTTCTATTAACATTATTTTTTTTCTCAGTCGTTTATAAAAATCGAGAGAAGTGATACCTAGATTATCTAATACTTATAAATAAAAATTTGGTCAAAATAGTTTATAGATTTTATCGAGAAGTTACTTGGGAAAAGCCTTGCAAAAACAGTCTACCTAGTCCTCCAATACTAAACATATATTATCTCTCGTATATATTGAGTAGTTTTTTAGTAGTATGATATAACTTCTGAAAACGGAGTCCACTAAATTGCAGTATGTACGGACTTTTGTTATAACTGCCCTAAAAAGGCAATTTTGTCTCATTTGAGTCGTGTCGTTGGGTGTGGCAGACACTTGTAGCTAAACTTGTACAACACGTACGTTTGAGTTCACATTCTACAATACACGTACTGTATAAATTATTTTGTACGCACATGTTGTTTTCTTCGTGTGCTATGTTTACTATTTTTTAGCATTCAGCCAAACTACTCTTGTGCCGTTCACATTTCCCTGAGACCTTTGTTCCTTTATCTTCCGAATGTATTATCTAAACTCTGGAGTAGCAAAAGGAAATCAAATAACATTAAAAAGTTTTGGAAGAGTCCAAGCCGGTCCTAGGTTTAGGAGGGTCTGAACTCTGAAAGCTAACAAGAAATTTTTGTAACATATAGACTTTTTTTTTTGGTTAAGTTCTTTACGTGTTTTCAACAGTTTTTAATAAAATTATATTATATATATATTTTTTTAACTCAAATAGGAAATCGATTTGGTTTATATAGATGAATCAGAGTGAAGGTTGGAAATCGGACATGGCATAGCGTAAAATTGAGTTGGAAACTCTTAGAAGAAATAAACTGAAGAAAAGCATCAGGGATTATAAAAAGAACCCGATGCATATTGTTGTCCAAAACATACTTATAAAAAATTGAACCCGTCCCTAATAGTTAGGAGGCTTAAAGCAAATTAAAAAATTTGTGACCTTATATTTTTAGTATCTAATTTTGTTGATGAATTTTTTTATATAATTTAAATAAATAATAACATTGTTTTATCATATACTTTAGTATATAGAAAAATAATCAACATAATTTTAGCAACTTTTTCAAATATTCCAAGTTATATAGGAAACAACACAACATAAGTAGAGCTTTTTTATAATTACTAAAAATACTAATTTTTTATCTTAACATTGTGTAAAACATTACGAATAACTATAAAATGATTAATCAAAAGGTTTAAATAATTTATAAATTTGATAGTTAATAGCGTCAAATTATTGAAAATGATTTGTTAATAATTAAATGGTAAAAATAAGTAAAAAAAAACTTAAAAACAGCGAAAAAGAGATAATCTACTATATGAAACAAAACAAAATAACAGAAAAATGTAATACATACCAAAATATTAACTAAACCGTATGAAGGATTAAATTAACAATGGAAATGAAATTATTATACTATACAATACTTTTTTTAACGGGAAAATATACTATACAGTACTTACATGATCAAATTTTTAAGTGTGGCCCTTAAATTATTTAAGAAATTTTGTGGCTTAAAGCAAATGCTTCATATGCTTTATGGGAGGGAAGGGTAACTTTTTTTTTTTGAACCGGTAAACTGTCTAACTCCGTTTTCTTCTAGCAAAATAGAAGATCGATTAATCCATGGCCATGCCAGAGCTAGTCAAATCCTCTCTCAGCAAAGGTGAGAGTCCAAATCCAGATCTTACAAGTATGGCCCATTTGGAGATACTTGTTTGAATGGGCTAAAATAGTGGTTTGAAACTTTGAATTGTATATATCCAAATTATGGCAACTAGATTTATCTGTCGACCGAAACAACTTTGAAACCAAACACAAATTACACACAGTGTTGTTATAATCTTTTAACAGAGATATAGATTGGTAGACATGTGAAAACTTTGATAAATCATTTCAGAATCAAGGGTCATATGACAGTTTTGATGAGCATGCAAATTATTATATTTTTGTTAGCATGCAAAAACATTGCAGCACGTAGGCCATAAACTCTTGTAAAACATCCTTTTGTTACAGCTCAAATGTTGTGGTCAGGTATGCATTTTCAAGTTTAGAAGAAAGCATCTTAGACCCGTTATATTTTGTATAGGTTATATGAAAACCGAATCTCACAAAAAGATATATTGTATAGTATAAAACAAAACTTTCCTTAAAAGAATGAAACATTGTGTTTTTACTCTTTACAGAACATATATTTTTGTCCCGTGGCTTTAGTGCAAATTATTTCACCATTTTATCCAAACAAAGGCTTAGTCAAAACGTATTCTAACGGTACTGTAGTAAAAAAAAAAAAAAAAAACAATTCGCAAAGAGTAAATATAAAAACAAACTTTATAAATTCTGTCTATATAATAATTTTAAAACCACCGATGATAATGGAATCGGAACAATAGAGGAAAACAAACAGCTATAATGAGTTTGTGGGCGACGGTTGTCTAACCTTTGGCTCTGTCTATTTATTATCTTATCCAATCATATATTTTCTGGGTTCCCCTCGTGGCTTCTCCTAATCATATACTCCTTAGAAACTCCTCAATTTTTAAATATTGCTATATTTGCTTTGAATAATTCCTTTTCCCTTTTAACAATTTATTCTACCACCAACACTCGAATTTTAACCAGTTCTCCCGCAGCCATTCATAAACGTCACCGTTGTAGATTGGTTGCAGTTAAACACGTTTTACACTATAAAAAAAATAAGAAACCATTTCATATGGTTGCATAACGTTTTAAATCACGTTTGCTATGATTAGCGGTGGCACGTCGTTGGAAGATTTTCTTTTTTATAACACTCATGTGATTACGTCTTTTAGTAATTAAATTACATAGCGATGCTTTAATTGAGATGATATTATTATGTTGTTCGTATACATAAACGTTTAAATGTAAACGTATATGTGTATTTATAAAGTTGTGGAAAACACACGAATGAGAATCTTGGGTCTATTTTTGAATGTAATAAGCTCGCAAATCCTTCTTATGAGCGTATATATTCTTTGCTTCCAATAAAGAAAAAGGTTTTTCCTAAAAATTATTTATTTGAAAAAAAAGTTCAAAAGTGTGAAGTGTCTTGGTAAAGGTTTTATGGAATTACGGAACAGTGCCGGTTCGACGATTTTCGATGTATTATACAAACCTAAAATATTATATCTTTTTGTATATTATATTTAATATCATAAAAATAAGTAAAAAAAATTATAGTTAAAACTTCAGAAAACAATTCAGTTCTAAATAAACAAACTTAATCATAAATGGTTTATAAAAAATAAAAATAAAAATAGTAATAATAATAATCATATTCTTAAAAAATAATACTCTTTGCATTTTTGCTTGTAAAGTTCATTAATCTTATGTAATTGAGGTTTTTAACCATAGATGTATCAATTGATAACAAAACTAAGTCTATTCAAACTTTTTTGTGACATCGTAAATCGAAAATACTGCAAATAATAATAAAAAAATTGAAACATAAATAAGACAATAACAATGTGAGAGAAGGAGGAATCAAATACATTTAGAAACACCTCAAAACTCAAAAGTAATTAAGAAAACATTTTTTTGTGAAACTCTAGTCGGGTTCAAAATTTTAATTTGGTTATTAATAAAAAGTCCTTAAAATTGCTAACAGAAACCCTATAAACACTACTATTATAAAAAAAGAAATTAAAATTTTTATTTATGTATAAACATATATTAATAAAGAACTAGTCTTAATAAAAAAAATATTTAAGAAAAATATCCCTAACTAACTAACCCTAATAAAGAAAATATTTTAAAATAATGCCTTTAAAATTTTGATGCCCTAATCAACTTATGTAGCTTGGCCTATGGGTGTTGCTCAAAAAAAGGTGGCAATAAATTAAAAAACAAAAAACAAACAACATTTATTGTAAGACGTATATTCATTAGTATATTGCATATTAATTATTAACAAAAAAACAAGAAAAGAAGTTTTATATTGCATATATATCATAATATATATAGGTTAAAAAATAAAATTAGATATTAGCATGTTTGTATATGGAGCTGTCGTTTGTTTTGTTTTGTTTATTTCAACGAGAGACAAAAATCAGAAAATTTTAATATCTTATATACGTTTAATTATTATAAAATATTGTGTGAGTTGGAAAACAAACACAAATAGTAATAATGTCGAGTGTGTCGACCGTTCAATTCGTACAATATTTCTTCTGTAATCATTGTAACCTGAAATACCATTTCTACTATGAACAAATTTATTATCATTCGAGTTCAGACTTTTAGATACAGATGACATCCATGCAATTAGAAAACGAACTATATATATCCACATTAAAACTGAAATAGCTGATATAACATAAAATCTTCTGTAAGCTTAAATTTATATATCATAATAATAATAACGAAATAGTTAGATTACTGATTTTGAGTACTCTAACACAACATAAGTATAATAATTCTGTAAAGTGTACCCTAATTTTCTTTTTCTTCTTCTTCTTATTTCGTAATGTTGCTTTAAAGGCACCAAGACTTTGGCCCTTTTTGTGCCAAGTTATGACAAGGAACCCAACTTGTGAACCTAAATTGCTTTGAAAGAGTAGTTTTTTCTATCTATATCACGCATAAAAAATCTATCTTTCTTTTTCAATCTTAATTTCTGCTCACCATAAAGGCAAGTTTCCATCTTCTGCTCCTCTAGACATATATCAATTGCTGCTAGAATATCTCTTATTTCCAAAACTTTTCACACATTTAGGGTTTTTTTTATCTCCATCGTTGAAAAGGGTCACTGCCGAATCTTGCTTCATTCCTCTGTAATTTCACACAAAGGAACCAAATTTCGGCGATTTTTTTCTTTTTCTTTTCAAGTGATGTGAGAATTTTGTTGCGGAGAACGATGAAGACTATTAGTGGGTTAGGGATTGGGTTGAGTTTGGTGTTTGGGTTTCTTCTATTAGCACTTGTTGCAGAAGTCTATTACCTTCTGAGATGGAAGAAGCACAAGAAGAAAGTCACAAGCCAAGAGAGCGAAGAAGAGAAAGAAGAAGAAGAACAAATTGGGTATGCCAAGGAACTTATTCAGCTCTTCTGCTTCAAGAAAAAGCCTCAGTCTTTACAGGCCAACAATGGCGGAAGAGAAGGGGAAATCTCGAGGAATCAAGACGGGAGTGAAGATTTAGAGCTTGGGTTGATGAAGCATTTGGGTGGAGGAGATCTAGGGTTTGAAGCAGAGCTCATGAAGCTTCATAACCAGAGGTTTCTCTTCACAATCATGGAGGAGACGAAAGCGGATTTGGAATCTGATGATGGGAAATCGAGATTGGGTTCGAGATCGAGAAGAAGGAGCCTGAGTGATCTTCTAGCTGGAGTAAATGACTGTAATACCCCAGGATTCACTCCATTGGCCTCTCCTACTACGCTAAAGTCGTCATCGCCTTTAGAGTCTTACTCACACCATGGATTCAATCCTCTGTTTGAGTCGGACGGCGAGCACGAGTTTAACAAGTTTTTCAGGTCGTCGTCTTCCTCCCCTCCGCCGAAATTCAAGTTCATGAGAGACGCGGAAGAGAAACTGAGGAGGAGATTGATTGAGGAAGCCAAAAGGAGAGAGCAAAAAACGGAACTTTCGACTGTAACAGAGGGTTCGTTTCTGAAGTTCATGAACCCCGCGACGAACAGAGAGAAGAAACAGAGTAATCAAGAATCTGATAAAACGCTGTCGTTTTCTCCTTCTTCTTCTTCATCAGGTACAAATGTTAGAACGTTAATCCAGAAATCCACACTGGTTGTTTAGTATTAGATCTCTGTTTCTACTCCTTAATTTTTATTTTTGGTTGAAATTTTATAATGAAATTTCAATTTTATTGTGTGAATTATATAATCTTTATTTTATCTCGTTCATATTATTTGGGAATGAGTTTTTTTCTGTACGTATCAATCTGAAAAATTTGCAGATGCTTGTTTAAAAAATTCGCCTGAGAATATGAAATTATACAATTTATCCTCTAACCAAAAAATAAACTATGTTGTATAGAGCATTTAACTTAAAATAAAATTGTGTTAGGTTTGGAAGTTGGGGTTAATAATTCAAATCTTTACGGCGCCACAAGTTGAATTTTTCAGCCTCCTTACGTTTTTTTAATCTACCGGTCAGAATAAAATACTTACTCCTTTTTTTAAGTAAACGATAAAAAGTGTAATGGTTTTTTGATTATAAGTGCTTTAATGCCCGCAAATCATGGCACAATATATCATGAGTAAATCCTTTTTTTTCACACACTTGTGATTATTACTTACTAATTTTTTATGCTCTCTAATTTCGAAGTGTAAAACAAAACAAAATACCTTTTCTGCTGTCGGAACTAGAAAAATTCATGGCATCACGCGATGTATCGCCGAAAGGTTTGTTTTCTATTTTTCATTTGCCTTTTTTTCCACAGTTTTCTTTAGGAATATACCTACTCACACCTAAGTTTGTTTGGTAAGTAACCAACAACATTAAGATAAATTTAGTTCAGGTGTGTGATTCTGCGGTTTCCGTCCAAAATTATCATCAAAACGAACATCAAACAAGTTTGGCAAAAAAATTATTTTTTTTATGGAAAATTCAAATTTGAAGTAATATGTTTAGCAAATAAAAGGTTAATCTGAACTTGACAAAAAATTGAATCAAAGTTATTGTTTGTGCCAAAATAGAGTTATTGGACCACTGATCAAAAGACTTTATTAGTGGTGAGTTAGCGACAATTTTTCTCGTCAGAAAATCTACATCATATGACAACAATGGATGTTAGGGTCACAACAACAAACTCTTTTGTATTCATAAATAATGCTCTTATGCTTGAAATTGCAGCACTCAGTAGAGCAATTTAAAGGTAAAAAATATGTAGAATTCAAATATAGTGGGTAATTCAAATCTACTCACTAAACCACTTGACTTTCGGTTAGTTTAAATTGATTATAATTTATATAATTCAAATATATATGTACACCAAACATACTGTTATACATGTATATATGTACGTAATAGATGACAAATGTGAACATGGCGGCACGTGAAAGAACCAAACTCAACGAGACAGGAAAAGGGAAGGGGTCCGAGAACACACGTCACTGTCGTGGGCCCCACCTTAAATTGTAATTTCAAAATTCTCGCTTTGGACACTGGAGCCCAACTTCAAGAAAGATTCATAATTAACCATGATTTGTTTGTTAATCCTTTGAACTATAGTATGATTTGTTTGATAAAATTATGGGACTGTAGTCTGTAGTCGACCAGATAATAAATCATTATAAGTTTACAACAATTATTCTCATATCATGTGTTATGACATTGTTCTAACATCTTCTAATGTTCTCATGTTCTGTCATAATATATAATCAAATATGCAAACAAACAAAATAAAATTTAAAAAATACAAAGATGCCAATTTCAAGAATCAATCTTTAAAATACATACATCCAATACCAGTCTAACACCATTGATATCAGCGACCAAGCCTTAACCTCCACCGTAGATACTTAGAGACAAAATTTCAACTCGTCACAAGTTAACATTATCATCCAATTTTCAAACAATCAAGTACTATATATCCATATTGAAAATTACTGCACGTTCGTAGAACGAATAATTTACATACAATAAGTCAATACCCCCATTCGTCGCATCCAACGTGAAAAATACACTAACATTTAGACTTTTTTTTTTAATGTTTATCAGTAGCAATGTTTTTAGAAACTTGTTAAATTTGAATTATTGAGTTTTTAATTCAAATCTAATGGCAATAAATTGATTTTCGATATGTGATTGTAACAGAACTATAATTTTTTATCTGTAAATTTTAATGTCCTTTGAAGTATACAGTAAAACATGTATTAGTTAACAGTTCGAATGCATTAATCAGTTAAACTATAATTTAGATATGTATTAGTTAATGAGTTGCATTCTTGAATGACCAATTGTTGCCGACAAACAAACAAAAATGACCATTTGAACTGCTAGTCTTAGTTGTTGTATAATCAATTACTCTATGCTTATTATGTATGACGAGACAGTCTAACTAAATATTGTAGTTTTGTGGTTTCGTCTAGATTCAGTTGGATTAGCTTATTTGGCAATTATCTTCCGCAGTAGAGAGAGTGGCTTGCCAATTCCGTCTTTCACTCCATGTCCTCTTTTCTTGACCAAGTTTTCTTGGATTTTAGAACTACTTAGTTTAGTACAATTCTCCGAAAGGTACAGAATTGGTTTAAAGGATTGGGCTCATCGTATTGGGTCTAGGCCTGATCTAGCTCGTTTGAGTTTAGAATAGACTAGTTTTGGATAGGACCCTTTAATTAAGTATTTGATTGATGAGTGTTGTTAGTTATAAATTAAACAAAAAAATATTATTTGTTTAGACTTTAAAATACAAATAGTTTGTGGAAGCTATAGATTTTGGTAAGAGGATGAAAAATAATATAAGGCGATAATAGCCTCGTGCTTTGAGCAGACATTCTTGAATAATATTTCTACTATTGTATTGTTAGCACTTAACAACTTGAAATTTTTCACCCAAATCATTGGCATTTCACTTTGATGAGCAAGATTCTTCGTCGAATTTCTTGAGCCTATGATATTATCAGGGGTTAGTAGTTTCATTGATTTTGTTGATTTGTTAGTTAGGAATTAAATATTATATTAGTCTATTACTCTGTGATAACATTTTAGTACTGTGCGCACAATTAATCTAAGATTGATGTTGATGAATCATTTTTGTATCTTACCTCTGGCGTCATACCAATACCATGTATCTTCAGGTTAAGCTTTTTGTATACACATATGCATATATAATATACAGTAGATTTTGGATATATTATACTATAAGCTATAAAGTGTGATTTACCTCGAGAAGGGAATATTTTCGTAAGAATAAGATAAGTGTGGCGTGTGGGGATGATCAACACGGCAACACGGACGCATGTTTGCTTTTGTGGGGGGACAAAAGTCAAATTATACTGGAAATTTTCAGTATTCAATCTTAAAGTTCCCTAACCCTCAAGACATTCAAAAAGTCAACTTCTTGATTGAGATAGATTAACCATATCCATGGTTCTGTGGACATTAATTAGCTTAGGATCCCTCCGATTATTGAAAAAGGGAAGTAGAAAACCTAGAGGGACGACGAACATAGATATTGGATAGAACTTAGAAAACAAACTTTGATTTTACTCCATCTGTTTAGTGTTAACTGAAATTTATTGGTTTTATAGCTGTTTTTTTTTTACAGCAAAGGGCTTTATAGATTTCTTTTGTATATACGTATATATAATATTGAAGCAAAATTAAAGATTATTTTGTAAGATCAATGGGGAATCCGATGAAGAAGACACTGTCTGTTTAAGTGTTAACGTGTATGTAGTTAAATGGTATACAAATCCAACTGAACATTTACTATCTAAACAACACTTAAGACAATCATGCCCAACTATTGTTTCAAACGCAAACTTTGCGTTACGTTGCGTTTACGTTGCATTAACAAGCACGATATATATTTTAAATATTTTAAAACATAAACAAATTCTCGTCAAATATTTTGCAAAATGTAAATGCAATCTTTTGTTGTTCACTTTGCGTTTGGTTAAATAAACTTTAACCTCAGAAAAAACTATAATAACATGTCACTGTAATAAATATAAACGTAAACAAGCAATTAGATCCTAAATATTAACGTCAAAAATATAGGCATCTTCATCCAAATCGATACTGCAAAACCAAACAATATGTAAGTATATATATATATAGACACACGCAGCCGTAAATCATATATTTGTATTTTGTATATGCGTATAGAACATGGATCAAGGTCTAGGTCTCTCAATATTCTTACCGAAATCTTCAGACACGAACGGAATTCGATTTCATATAACTTTGATGAAAACACTAAACTTTAAACTTTAATATATAATATAAACACAATAATATTAGAGATATGAAGTTATAGGTAAGGCAAGCAGAAAAAGAAAAATCAAGACTATCGATATATATATATATATATATATGTTTAGAAAACTGATGATTAAGATCTAGCTTTCTTGATCTTTTTGCCAAAATCTCTAAGAACAGATGGTGGAAACATGGATTCGACCTCTCTAGCTACATCCAAGAAAACCACCGATCTCTTTGACCACAAGGCTCTCCCTTTCATTGCCAGAGATGCTTTGGGCTTTCTCGGCGGCCGAGGAGGACAATAACACCTAACGTCCGAATTCCTCGGCGTCTCTAGGATCTCCACACGCGAAAAGTCATCCCATTTTCGTTTACTTCTTCGTTCATCTTGTTCTTGCTCTTGATCTTGAGGTTGTTGTTGATCTTCTTGTTGGTTGTTTGGATCTCTTTTAGATTGATTTTCTTGATGGCGTGGAGATAATGGAGACTCTGGTTTTGGTGGAACTAGGAGACTCTCGGGTTGTATGGCTGCGATATCTTTGTCATCAGGCAATAACTGAAAAATCTTTATGTCTCGCAGTGGCATCTTACCACAAACAGGGAGAGTAAATTTAAAGACAAATCAATGTACATATATCAAAATAGCAACAAGACCTTGGTATATAAAGTTACATATATAAATTTATATTAATGTATACGCGTGTGTGAGTGTGTTTAGTGTAATAAGGAGAAAATTAAGAAGTTGAAATTAAGATCTTAGAATGTATGTTTAATTGTGTGTGTGTGCAGTGCTTGATATATAGCACAGAGCAACAATGAGACACCTCCGAATCGACAAGGCAGCGAAGCATGCAGACCGTAAAAAGAGAAGGACCTCTATTAATTAATTTCTAAAAATTGCAAAATAAATCAAGGAAAAGAAAACACACCCACTCACCCAGACATATATTACCATCTCTGTGATACCCAATTTTCTCCGACTAATTGAGAATGATAAAACACTTTCCAATAAAAATCCCTTTATATTTGAAAACTTTTTAAGTGTTTTTATCAGCCTGTCAAAAAGAAAATTGTAAAAAAGCGCGCGCCTTATTATTCTATTTAAATAGTATTAAATTCAAAAAATTATGTAAGTATATCATTCGATGAATATATAGGATCAAAATTTATGATCTAATAACTTGATTTGTATAATTTGAATGAATGCTTATTATTCAGCAGAAACAAATAAATTTCAGGAAAAACCTAATATGTGAGCATTTTTGATATATGGATTCAGTCATTCAGGGTTTGAAGCAAGTTAATGAGTAAATTATATATACATCATTATAAACTTATATATGAGCATTAGTATAGTTTTATTTATATCATATTATGTGGGTCCTGTGATTCCTGAACAGAGAGAAAACTAGATGAAAACGCACTTTGTGCGAGGGATCCAATGCAAAAACATTTGCATATCTTTCTGAATTTACGCATTTACATACAAGCCAAGCCACACAAATATTATTAAGCACTGTCTCGTATCCCTTTATATAAACTACTCTATACAAATTCAAGTCTTTTTCACTTTTTATCATCCGTCAAAATAAAATAAGTATGTCAGCGTAAAAAGTAGCGAATATTCACAACTATTTTAAAACATATTTTTGATTTTAATAATTTTATTGTAGTTCTATTCATCTCTAAAATCAGAAATGATTTTTATATATTTACCAGTATTTTTTTCTGTGTGTGTATTTGTGGTGAACTAATCGACGTAGAATATCTTTATAAAAAACAGAATGCATGTCACATCATCTTAACTGCATGAAATCTAAAACAGTGCTATAATAGGACTCTTATTCGTATCCAAGTGGTTGAGACGTTGAGTTCACCAAACATTTGGGATATAACAATCTATTTTGTGGTATAAGTAATACCTAACGATATATGAATAGATCAATAATTTTGTATATATACATAACATATAATTCAATTCCACTCGAAAACAAATGGTAACAATGGAAACTCTTTATTAAAAAAAAATGGTAACAATGTATTTAGGTGATAAAACGTAATTTCTCATATAAACCTTATATAATTTTTAAATAATAATACTGTTGTATGTTAAATTTTAAAAATAAAATTTGGATATTACAGTGAAATATGACATAAATTATGTTTTAGTAAAATATTGTTTGTTGACTTTGCTTCAGCTACAATGTTTTCTCTTTTCACTATGTGGTTGATTTGGGTAAGGCTCTAATCACTACAATCGTAACATCTACTGACGTAGAACAAATAATACCAACAGTCATTGCTACTGCACTTTCTTTTACTGGTTCGTTGACAAACAACCATACTAATTCAAAAACATTAGCTTTAAACAAAACTCCTATTAGAAAGATTGCCATCACTAATGCTCTTAACACAAAGTCCAATGTCATTTGATCTTCCTCCAGGTTTGGTAAATGATCCAATTCCTCCTCAACTAAGAAGCTCATTGGCTTATAATAATACTTCGTATACATACTTTTGTTTCATCAAAATCAAGTCACGTGAATACATAACACTAACATCTGATGCATCTTATGTGGAATCTATCTTTTTAGCTTTATCTCCACTTTTCCGTCCTCGATCTTATTAATTAGTTAAGCTTTCATCATGTGATGGTGATGTCACTCTTTAATTGTAATTATAAACATTAGTTCAAATTTATCACAGCTTAGTGCTTACAGAATATATTGATAATTGTCATATTTAAATATCATTATCTAATGTTGACTAAAAAAGGTAATAATATGACGTAACTTGTTTAGGATATGTACATAATTAAGTCGTAGCATTTGGGGTAGTCTGTATAAGTCGTAAGACTGGTTCTTAGGATTCCTTCATTGACACTGATATGGTTTCATAGCGGTTGTAGATTTGGTACGTCTTCTTTGTCTTTTACTCATTTAGTCATTTTCCATAAAAAAAAAATTTCATTTATCGTTGCAGGTTTTGTATTTTAATTCATATTCCCCGACCGGGTTTTCGATAGAGGTACGTAAAAGTTTATTGTACCCGTCGCTACAATTTTGTAAACAGTCCTTACAATGTCATTTGGATATATTAATTCCTTTATATCCAACAACAACAAAAATCGTAATGAAATAAGTAGTTTTTTAAAAATTTGTTTGTGAAACAAAGTTATGGAATTTTTTTCAAAAAAAACAAAGTTATGGAAATATTGTGGTTATATAAAAGTGATTTATGGAGATAATAATTCGAAAGATGTCAATATGTCTCCACGCTAGGTGTGCGGGCCCGTTTGAGATTGCTTGGGTTTCACCGCATCCTAAGTTTCTTATTCTTGAAATTTGTTCCAGAACTCCTAGTTTTTTTTTTGGGGGGAATAAACCTAGTTCTAGTTTAGTATTTTATGATGCGAAAACATGCAAAGGAAATTCATAATGAAAATACAACTAAACGTATGATTTTTTATAACTATTACTATTCACTAAGTATTTATCCGCGCTACGCTGTGAGATATTTTTCTAGATTTATATATATTTTTAATATAATATAATTATTTATATATTTTAAATGAGAATTATATTTATTGGCTTAAGTTATGTATTTATATGTTTTAAATGTGAATAAACATTATATATCATTAATTTTTTTATTTTTTTAAATTATAATTTACTGTCAAATTTGTTTAACTAACTATATATAAATGTATATGTAAGAATAAAACAATACATTTTAAGTACCTTCAAGCTAATGGTAGATGTAATTTATTTTCTTTACTAAATTGCTACTTGATTCTCCTTTGAAATTATATAAAACAAATTGCCATTTAAAAAATATCAATTAATATGATTATTTTAAATTATAATATTTATTTATTTATCAAATATTTATTATAGACATATGTTTCTAAAACTACCAAACTATAATCAATAACATTCATATCAAAATCATTACAATTATTTTAGAACTAAAAAAAACTTCTATTTGAACTATTGAAATATCAATTTAGTTGAAGTTAAATAATTCAATTTTGGTTACTATAAATATATTATAACTTGAAAATCTAGCACAGAGAAATTTTATCTTTTTACAAAAATCGAGAAATTGCATTTTCCGATAAAACAAAAAAAAATTATTTCCCACGAAACTGAGAAATCGCATATTCCTGCCAAAACAAAAAAAAATTATTTTCTCGTCAAACCTGAAATTTCATTTTCTTACCAAAACAAAGAAATTGCATTTTCTTTCAAAAATCAAAAAATCACATTTTCCCGCGAGAACCTGTGTTTTTCCGTCAAAACAGAGAAATCAAGTTTTTTCACCAAAACCAAAAAATTTCATCTTCCTGCAAAAACAAAAAATAGTATTTTTCCGTCAAAACCAAAAAATTATTTTCCCGCAAAAATCGAGAAATCGTCTATTCCCACCAAAACAAAAAAAAAATTATTTTTCTCGTCAAATCAAGAATCACGCCTTCCTACCAAAACCGATAAACTACAATTTTCCGCAAAAACCAAAAATTGCATTATCTCCTCAGAAATTGTGTTTCCCACAAAAACTAAGAAATTATATTTTTCCTCGAAAACCAAGAAATTATATTTTCCCTCGAAAAAAAAAAATCAAATTATATGTCAAAAACTAAAAATTTACATTTCCCATCAAAACCAATAAATTGTTTATTTCTGCCAAAATCGAGAAATTTTGCTTTTCTATCAACCCGAGAAATTGCATTTTCTGCCAAAAATGTCAAATTATAATTTTCCGCAAAAATCAAGAAATTACATTATCCATCAAAAGACAAAAAAATTATATTTTCTATCAAAACCGAGAAATCGTATTTTTTTTTTCAAAATTGAAAAATTGCATTTTCATCGCATTTTCTCGTCAAAATCAAAATTTTTTATTTCTCACTAAAACCAAAAATTCACATTTTGCCGTCAAACCCGAGAATTCGTTTTTTTCCGCCATAACCGAGAAACTATGTTTTCCTACCAAAACTGAAAATCACATTTTTCTACCAAAACCAAGAAATTCTCTATTTCTGCCAAACCCAAGAAAATTTGTTCTCGGTAACCAGTGGAAATGCGAATCTCCAAGCTGTGGTGGTCTGAGTTTCTCCTTATTTGCTTTCGCCATCCATTTTTTTTGTAAACTTTGAGCTTTTTAATGGGTCAGCAAGATAGTAAATTGATTTTATTAGTGTGTTAATAATATGTATTATTGTTATGTTTTTATTGGTTCAAATTTTTGCTGAGCTTCTTATAACATAACGCTTTTTGCATTGTTGTTATGAAAACATAGTTGATGATGAGTCTACACTTTCTTCAATCATATACGTCTCTATCAAGCAAACACATATTTAGAAATTTTAATTTTTTTTGCTGTTATTGATTATTTGAGTTTCGGTTTGGCAAAAATATAAAACAAAGATTTAATTTTATTATTTGTTGTTATTTATTATTTGGGTTTGTTAAAAAAATAAAACAAAATTTCTTTTATTTGCTGTTATTAATTATTTGGGCTTGGACTTGCCCAAAAAATAAAACTAAAATTAAAAATAAAAAATATTTTGAGTTTTTAATAGATTTAAATTTAAAATTTAAAATAAATTAATGACTTGTATTAATGAAATGTTTTTATTGATGTTTTTTTTTTGCTGAAATGTCATTTCCTAAAAGCTTGAAAATGCTGATGTGTCAAGCCATAGAAATATTTATGGATTATTGTTGCGTTGATTTGTTGTTGTTACTTTTTGTTTTTAAACAGCATGGTTTTTTTTTGTCAACTAATAGTCAAATTTCGAGGACATATTCTTTTGATACTAGATGCAAATAGTAGTACAAGGATACTTATTTCATTCTCGGGATCATTTTATATTATTATTTTATTCTCTATGGTTTAAGTTGATTCTTCTTTAAAAATACAAAAGAATATTAATATTTGGAAGAAAGTTAAAGGCTACAATATATTTTTACTAAATTAATTTATTTCTTTATATATTTGTAATTGATTCATATTTTTATAGGTAATTTTACTTTTCAACTCTCTATATTATAAGATTATCAAATTTTAATTATATTTGTATCATTTTTTCTTATCATTTCTAATTATATTAATTTGTTTTATTTGTCATTTCTAAATCGTATATCTGTAATATTTGGAGTATGGTAATTTACAGAATGGTATAGTTTATTTTCCATATATTAATATGAAATGCAGAAGACACACTCTCATAACAAATAATTACATATCAATGCACATGCTTAATTATGTTGCTTCCCCACATCCTATCATCATTACACCATTTTCTCAATCTCCGCCCACCTTTTTCAGCAAATACCCATATCCCCTCCCACCCTAAATTATTTAGTTTTACTCTGTTATAAATTTTATAATCTTACCTTTTCTCTATCTTGAATTTTTAAGTCCCATGGGGTATAATACTCGACCGGGTCGGGCTTTCATTGTTACAAGAAAAAAAGAATGACATAATTCCTCTGGAGTGGGGTTAAAGGGTTCAGAAGGTCACACACGATTTCTTTTTAAAATAGTTATTGTCGAAAACTACATAAATATGTTACGAAGTCTATTTTTGTTGAAGATCCTACTTTCTTTTTTTCCCATAACCGTTTGATTCGAGAAAAGAGGATGAGGTTTTTGTTTAATAAGACACAGAAACGTCGTCATTGTGCTTATTACGTAATTATAGGCCGTTGACTCATGAATGTGGTTAATTGTTAAAATGTCACTACTCAATATGAACCACCCTATTTTAAAAGCCTAACATTCAAAACAAGTTTTCACTGACCCGAGTCTTCCGGCTAGCCAGGACCAAAACCCGTTATTTCCGGTCAGGTTGGGATGTAAATATTCTTCACTAACCAAAAATAGGTGGACACGTGTCGCCACCCTCATAGATATAGGATTCATTGAAAACTAACGGTCACGATCTGTTTGCAGTCGAGCGATATAGAGGAATGCTCCTTTGTTCTTTTCAGAAGTTTTGAACCCATTGAGGGCAGGACGTTTCAGGGATCAGGATTCTCTCGTTGTTCTTCGTTAGATTGATCACCAGGTGACAAACTTTTATTATATGTTTTATGATTGTCGTGGATTTTAAAATAACCTGCTTGAATGTTTCAGAGCATTTTCATTTATAATATGGCTCGTTAAATGAAAAGTTCTTAGAAAAGCGTATACCGCATTGGGGTTTTCGTGGTATGAATGAATCAAAAAGAACTAAACATAACTAAATGTTATGGAATATAAGAATAACTTAGTGAAATTTATAATATGTTCAATTTCACAACAAATTATACCGCTTGGAGCTTGTGCATTAAACGTTTTTTTTTTGTAAACATAACAGTTAGTTTTTTTCAAAAAACTGTTTTGTTACGTTTGATTTATATTCATATACAGATTGAAGAATGGCGGACGGTGAAGACATTCAACCGCTTGTTTGTGATAATGGAACTGGAATGGTTAAGGTAAAGTTTCTCTACATGCTATATGTGTCATAATATGTCTATATATATACAATAAAAATACTAAAGTAAGATCTGATACCTCTCTCGGGTTATAGGCTGGTTTTGCGGGTGACGATGCACCAAGAGCGGTTTTCCCGAGCATTGTAGGCCGTCCACGCCACACGGGTGTGATGGTCGGGATGGGACAAAAGGATGCTTACGTTGGAGACGAGGCTCAGTCGAAACGTGGTATCTTGACTCTCAAATACCCAATCGAGCATGGGATCGTTAATAATTGGGATGACATGGAGAAGATTTGGCATCACACTTTCTACAACGAGCTTCGTGTCGCCCCTGAAGAACATCCGGTTCTCTTGACCGAAGCTCCTCTTAATCCGAAAGCTAACCGTGAGAAGATGACTCAGATCATGTTTGAGACGTTCAATACTCCTGCTATGTATGTTGCCATTCAAGCTGTTCTCTCACTCTATGCCAGTGGCCGTACAACTGGTCAGTATTACACACTTTCCGAACATTCTCAATGGTTTATTCATTAGCTTTTGTGCTTTAATAAAATTCGGTATGGTTTTGGTTTGAGAAATTTCAAATTGTCCTTTTGCATATGGTTTGGTTAGGTATTGTTTTGGACTCTGGAGATGGCGTGAGCCACACGGTTCCAATCTACGAGGGTTACGCTCTTCCCCACGCAATCCTACGTCTTGACCTAGCCGGTCGTGACCTGACGGACCACCTCATGAAAATCCTGACGGAGCGTGGCTACTCCTTCACCACAACTGCTGAGCGTGAGATCGTTAGAGACATGAAAGAGAAGCTCTCTTACATTGCTCTAGACTACGAGAAAGAGCTAGAGACTTCCAATACAAGCTCATCGGTCGAGAAAAGCTTCGAGCTTCCCGACGGACAAGTGATAACCATTGGAGCAGAGCGGTTCCGGTGCCCGGAGGTTCTGTTTCAGCCATCGATGATCGGAATGGAAAATCCAGGAATCCATGAAACCACATATAACTCTATCATGAAATGTGATGTGGATATTAGGAAAGATTTGTACGGGAACATTGTGCTAAGTGGTGGAACCACAATGTTTGGTGGGATTGGTGATAGAATGAGCAAAGAGATTACGGCCTTGGCTCCGAGTAGTATGAAGATTAAGGTCGTGGCTCCACCGGAGAGGAAGTACAGTGTCTGGATCGGTGGCTCTATATTGGCTTCACTCAGCACTTTCCAGCAGGTAAAATGACATCACAATTCTCATTTTGTCTTTTGATCTTCATAGAACATTGATGAAAAAAATGCTCATTGAAAAACATATTGTTTTGTGTCTGAATTTTTTGCAGATGTGGATTGCGAAAGCAGAGTACGATGAATCTGGTCCATCAATTGTTCATAGGAAGTGCTTCTAATCACGGTTCATGAAATCACCAAAGGAAGACACAGAAGTAAAAGTAAAAGATAAAAACACTTACAAAATTGAGTTTTTTTTTTTTTTACAGCCTACCAATTGCTACTTTTAAAAAATCACATTTCTTCAACCAAATTGTTCTTTGTAATTTTGATTTGAAGCCACTGAACTTAAGTAGGTTCGGTTATAACTTATATATGTCAAGTATGAATTCGTGTTCGTGTTCATGTTCATGTTTTGATGGGTTTGAACTTTGAAAACGTGTTAATGTTTAATGTTGGCGTTTACATTTGAGTTCTTGCTGAAAGTATGAGCTACATCGAGATCAATATGTCATGCAGCAAAATTTTGGTGTTGGGAGACAATTGTGACATATTTAGTTGAAGAAGACATAACATCATTTCAAAGACAAAACACATGTTCCATAATGTTAGTATGGGTGTGTGGGGGTGATGGTTAAGTAAATTCTAATTTTATATTCGATTCCGGTTCACCTTAAACCGAACTGGGAAACCCAGAAACAGGAAGAAGCAGCAATAATTTTGAAGAACCATCGCAGAGATACTTCATCGAAATTGGCGACGAGAATCCATAACTCGCATGTCAACTTCTACACCGTCGGATAACGGAAATCAACCCGGATCTGTCGCCGGCGATTTTCCTCCCGACCCGCTTCTTGCCTCCGATTCCTTCATCTCCTCGACTACCCCCGCCGGTGACGGAACCCTTGGAAGTAGTGCGAAGCGGCGACCGATTCAGGGCGGTAGCGGAGCAACTGGTTCGAGGCAGAGAGCACGGATCGGGATGTCAAACGGTACGGATCAGGTGGATCCATCGCCGGATAACTCGGCTCATCAAGCGGAGTCGAAGTCGCGGAAGCGTGCGGCGCCGGGGGACAATTGGTTGCCTCCTAATTGGAGAGTTGAGGAGAAGGTTCGAACTTCCGGTGCTACAGCTGGCACGGTGGATAAGGTACAAATCTCAGAGCTTTATACTGCTTTCTCTCTCAAGTTTGAGCTGCGAAGCATCTTTGATTGCTGTTTTTTCTTTTTGGGTTAGTATTGTGGTTCGTCGCTGCTAACAATGTTATTAGATAAGAACAAACTTTGCAATTACGTAGTGTTAAGTGTGTTGTTGTTGTAGAAAGAATACAAATGCTTAGAAGGAAGACCACATCGAATTGATTTGGTTTTCGGCAAGTATTGTGATCGAGGAATCGAAAGTTTGGTGATTTCTTATCGTCCGATATTTGCAGTACTATTTCGAACCAATTACAGGACGCAAGTTCCGGTCCAGGACCGAGGTACTCTACTACTTGGAACATGGAACCTCTTCAAGAGGCAGCAAGAAAGCAGAGAGCACAGATTTAAGTTCAGACGTGAGTTTCACATGCTTAAAGTTTAAACCTTTCAACGCTGTTTTGCAAACTCGTGATGCATATCGAATCTTGTATCCTTTGCAGCATTTTGAAGGCCAAGGAAGCAAAAGAGCCAGCAGAAAAGCTAAAGAGCCGCCGCCTCCGCCGTTGAACTTTGATTTTGGGAATCCACCGGAGAAGGTAAGCTGGTGTATGTCAAGCACAGGAGAAGAAGCTTGGACACCTTTTGTTGGGGACGACAAGGTTCAGGATTCGGTGAGACGAGATTGGTGCACTGCGTTTACAGCCGTCACGACCCAAAACCCAAGCAAACTGTCGTTGTGAAGAGGATGATGACAAAAGGTGGCTATTTTTTGGGTGGTTGCATCTATTGTAAGATAAGCATATAGATGTTAGTGTTACTTAACTGGCCGATGTTTTGCTTAGTCTTCAGGTGATTTGAGATTGTTGTTTTGTAATTTTCTTAGCTTTTTTTTTTTGGGAGGAATGTGATAATGGGGATATACATATCTGCGTTTGTGTTTGACAGACATCGCTTTTTGACTAAAAAAAATGAAGACTTTGTAGCGACTCGGATACTTGGACATTGAACTTTTCTCTGTTCCAAAGTCTTGTCCTTTGTGTTTAGGAAAAGATCTTACCTTATATATCATGACAATGCCCTTTTTCAAGAACTAAATATGCTTGACAAGGCTTGGGTTTTTGAAAAACCTTAAGTTTCCGAGTCTTGGACACACTTATGCAGAGTATTATGGGGCACAAAGGAGAAAAGTAATTGTTTAAGCTAAAGAAAGACTACGGTGAAGAAGTTTAAATGGAAGTTTTGGGACAAGGAGATAATGAAGGAGAAAAGGAGTGTTCTTCGACTCTCTTTGTCCAGTAATGAGTGAGACAGTGACATGTAAATGAACACGATCATTTTCAATATGTAAAGGAAAAACCTGAGAAAATGACACGAAGCGTCTGTAGTCCAACGGTTAGGATAATTGCCTTCCAAGCAATAGACCCGGGTTCGACTCCCGGCAGACGCATAGAACTTTTTTAACTAAACTTTTCAATTTTTGTTTAGACAAACGGTGTCGTTTTGCAAGAAACTCACCAAAATCGAAATATGAGCTTTTGTTTGTGTGTAAGCAACAAAATTTGGTAATGTAGGGGTTTAAATTTGAAATTTCTTTGGTGGCTGTAGTACTTTTTTAGACCTTAAAGCTGTAGCAATAAATTACAAGGACAAGTTAAGCTCCCCCATTTAGAAACTCTCAGTCTTCCAACCTTCTGTATATGCCAGAGGCTTCCGTTTTTGTCTTGTGCCTCAAGTTTTGGAAGTGGAAAAGGAAAGGTTTTTGTGTTTTGTTTGTTTTTGATTATCTTCTGCCCACTCTGTTTGTCTATATTTACAGGCTTGCCACTGACGTTGCTCTGTCTATTTACGACGCTCTGTCTCGTCAAAAAGCAATTTTGTGGGAGAAAAAAAAACTTAAAGAGTGGGAAAACCAATTCTGTAACACGCTATTCTTGTGACTCCTCCAGTAGAAGAACATTGAAAGAAAGGTCCGAGCTTTTTATTGAGTATGGCTTCTACTCTCTTTTGTTTTTGGAAATATGGATTCATTTTGCTTGCAATGATTTTAAAAAAAGAAACCTTTTCGTTTTCGATTCTTCAGCTGTGTGGGTAACAAACCTTTTTTTTTTTTGGCTTTTCGATTTCTAGTATCTGCTGGATGTTATAAAGAAGTAATTTTTCACTAAGAAAAGCCATGAACTTACTCTCCATTCTGCAAGTTAGTTTCTTTTTACCCTGATTAAACCTAGAAAATGGGTTTTTCCTATAAAAAAGGGTTCTTTAGAGTTTTCTTCACAGCAAGTGATTTCTTTTTGTAAAGACTGTGAATCATCGTACATTTCTCCATATTTTTGTCCTGATTAAACCCAGAAAGGTTGTTTTGCATCTTGTATTGGTTGCTCTAAAGACGTGATTTTTGACTAGTTGGATCCAAACTATTTGTCTCTGAATAAGCAGAGACGTTATTTGTGGGCTTTTAAAAACATTATTTTGTCTTTAGGGAAAGCCATGATTTATCAACATTAGCAAAGTTTTGAACTTTTTATTTGGGTTGTTCTTAGAGAGAAATAGTTATTGCAAATTTGTCCTGTTTCCTGCGTTTGATTATGGTTTGTGGAAATAAAAACTCATTTTGCGAATCTGTTTGTTGATTGAAGCTCTAAGATGAAGAATGAACAGAAGCAGAAACCTCCAGTCGAAGATTCCCCTGCGGAGACTTCAAAGATGAAGAAAAACGAGAAGTTTGTGTGGCCATGGGTTGGTATTGTAGCAAACATACCAACGGAGGTTGAGAAATCTGGACGTCGGGTGGGCAAAAGCGGCTCAGCGTTACGCGATGAGCTTATCCAGAAAGGGTTTAATCCAACAAGAGTCCAACCCATTTGGAATTTCAAGGGACACTCTGGTTTTGCTTTGGTGGAGTTCAGCAGAGACTTTGAAGGGTTCGAGAACGCCATGAAATTCGAAAGCAGCTATCTTTCAGACCGCCATGGGAAGAAAGACTGGGAGAATGGTTAAAGCTGTTTTCTGATTGTTCAAGTATTTTCGATTTTGTTTTCTTTGTCACTGAATTCTCTTTCTTTGTGGAAAAGGTAGTCACTTGAGGGATGATAAACCCTATGGATGGGTTGCGAGAGAGGATGATTACAACCGAAGTGGAATTGTTAGCAAAGAAGTTAGGAAGAAGCGAGATCTGAAAAGTCTTTCACAGATTCAAGAGGAAGATGAGAGGAAAATGAACCAGCTTGTTGAAAACATGGCTCAAACGATTGAGATGAAGAAGATAAGCAAGCAAGAGCTCGAACACAAAGTGAATGAGACTTCTCGTGTTTTGAAGAGTTTGGAATTGCATAGCGCTCAGCTAAACCAAATCTACAAAGAAGGTAAAGATGACACTTGTTTTAAACTTACACTTTGAACTAGTTTTTTTTTTTAAAACAAAATCTATTTGGAATCTTTGTTGACATAGTTTTTTTGGTTGTGTCCTCTTGATGAGAAGAGGCTGAGAAGATGCAGATGAACTTGCAAGAGCAGTATAAGCAGATTCTACTAGGACATGAAAAATCTTTGTCCGCGCTGGAAAGAAAGAGGGTGGAGTTGGAGGAGCGTGCAAGACAGATCGACATAAATGAAGCTGAGATGGAAAAATCCAGACGTGAAAGAGAAATGGTGATTGATTACGCTTACCTTATAAATTAGAAGATACAAAGATCGTAAGACAATAACATCTGTTTCCTTTTTCTGTTATTTATCAGAATCAAAAAGCTATGTGGGAGCAGAATGAAGCGAATAAGGAAGCTATGAACCTTGCAGAAAAGCACCAGGCAAGTAGTTCTTTAGTTGGACTCTTTGTATGTGTATATTCATGGACAAATCCGAAATTAAAGCGTTCTTTCAACTTTTGAGTTTCTGAAACATGGTAACTTTTGCAGAAAGAGAAGGAGAAGCTTCATAAAAAGATTATGGAAATGGAAGCTAAGCTTAATGAAACTCAAGAGCTGGAGTTGGAGATAGAGAATCTGAAACGTAACACCAACGTAAAGAAGTATATGGTGGGGAGTGATGGAGATGCAGAGTATATGGAGAAGATGGCCTTAGCCAAGACTCAGATGGAGCTCGAGGCTAGAGAAACAGCTCTACACGAGAAAATGATGGCTCTGTCACAGAAAGAACGTGTGACCAACGACGAGTATCAAGATGCTCGTAAGGAGATGATTCTGGTACGAAACAAGAACATTCTAAATCTGTTTTTTCTTTCTTCCAAACAGTTGTGCTTTGAGTTCAGGAAAATTCTATGTCTTTATAACTTCTGATATTACTTTGATGAGCAGTTCTGGAATGGGAACGAAGATTTGGTGTGTGAAGAGAAGATTAGAGTGAAGAGAATGGGGCAGTTAAACCCAGAGCCGTTTTTGACAGCATTGAAGAGGAAGCTTAGAGGTTCAAAAGCAAAAGCAGATGAGAGAGCTATGGAGGTGTGTTCAATGTGGGAAGCACAAATTGGAGATGTGCAATGGCATCCATTCAAAGTCGATGATTCTGATGGAAAGGCAAAGGTTTGGACTTTAGGACTCTACTCTTAAATCTTAAAGTTGGGATCTTTCCTCTTTTATAAAATATTTCAAAGATTTTTCAAATGTGAGATTGTAGAATGTGGTGGACAAAAAGGATTTGAAGCTGATTAAGCTGAGGAATGAGTATGGTGAGGAAGTTTACAACGAAGTGGTGAGAGCAAAGCAAGAGTTATTGGAGTACAATGCAAGTGGTAGCTATGTGACTTTGGAGCTTTGGAACTTTGAGGAGAACAGAAAGGCGACGATGGAGGAAGTAACGGATGTGATGCTGAAGATAAGGAAGGATCTTGTGGCTAAGAAGAACAAACGAAAGAGGCGTTAAAGAAACAAAGCAAAAGAAGATTGAGTTTAAGTAATAATGGCGAGAGAACTATGAAAGTTATTGTTTTGCCCTTTAGAAAATTGCTACACACAAGTTTAAGTTAATTTGCTACTAATGTGAGTGGCGAGAGAACTATGAAAGTTATTGTTTTGCCTTTTAGAAAATTGTTACACACCAGTTTAAGTTAATTTGCTACTAATGTGAGTGGTTTTGCTAGTTTCTTCTATGGTTTTTCTCCAAAAACTTATCTTGTGTTCTTATTCTGAAAATGAAATTTTGGCTGATGTTATTAACCATGAAGATAAATGTTGAATACAATGAGGAAACAAGAAGCGTCTGTAGTCCAACGGTTAGGATAATTGCCTTCCAAGCAATAGACCCGGGTTCGACTCCCGGCAGACGCATATGTTTTGAAACTTTTAATATTAACAATGATTCTTGTAAGGGCATTCTCGTCCAATCAGATATTTTATCCACCGCATGTATAATCAAAACGCATGTTGCGTGCACGCGCCGAATCGTATCCTGTGGTCACCATTTCTCGGCACAACCGCCTCCACCACACGCTTCTTCTCTTATTCCGGCGAGAGAAATCAGAAGAGGATCACTTAAGATTTTTTTTTTTTTTTTTTAGCTTGTGTGTTCATGGCGGGAACTTGTACCTCGATAAGGCCTCGCCTCATTGGGTCTTGCTCGATTGTTGAGCTTTCCAGGTTGATTAATCGAGCCGGAGCTCCTTTCTCTGTTCGGATCTCCACCAGAAGGTCCAGAATCCGAGGCCAAGGAGGCGCTTTCACTGCACCGGCGTCACGTGAGGAAGGTCCTTCTTGCATCTTCGTCGGTCCGATTGATTCCGCCCGCAAAGAAACACTGGAAGCTCTTTACCGCCAAGTACGCCTAATTCATTCATCTCTTGTGTGTGTATATATTATTATTTACTCACCAAAATGAAAATTCCGGTGAAAGTGTTGGTTTCTGACTTTTATTCGATTGATCTCGGTGGCTTGAATTTATGGGTATAGGCGAGGGATGCGTATTACAATGGCAAGCCTTTGATAGTTGATGACATGTTTGACAGAGTTGAGGTAAGATAACTGTTAGTATAAGTGCTTCTAATGATATAGTTTAGGTGAATATAGTTTCAAGCAAGATATGATTATAATCATTGAACTCTGCTCTCTGTAATTGTATCATTTCTCTTGCAGCTAAAGCTTCGGTGGTACGGTTCAAAATCGGTTGTAAAGTACCCTCGATGCAGCCTCCTGAGACAGTCAACTTATGCTGATGCAGAGGTAGGTTCATGTTTCCATTTTCACTTCTTTTTGTAACAGGTTTTTGGTGGGATTAGTATTATGATTCATGGTTATGGTAGTGGACACAAATGGGTATTGTCAAGGGTTGATATTGAGTTAAAATCCTTGTAGGACAGGATGATACATCACAAGTTCTCCTGTTAGCTACCATATGGATCTTGATTCTCTTGTTTGGTAGCTCAGCGTGCGTTTTGCCCACCATGTATGGCCTCGGCTTAGTCCATGGAGGAGATCCGTTCGACTCGGGGCTTATCTATAGCGGACAGTTGTCATCTTCTGTGCCTCTTTTGTCGAAGTTGAACGGCATGCTTCTCACCGTGCTAGGACCTGCTTTAGGGTATCCGATTGCATCTTCTTCAGGTACATTAATGCAAACACGTTTTTTTACCTATAAAGTTTCGTTTTACTTCCTACTGAGATAAAGATTGCTTGTGTGCAGTAAGAGTACTTAAAGGGTTATGGAGAAATGACTTAACTGCTCTAAAAGGAGACTGCCCAAATTGCGGCGAAGAGGTTCGTTTATTCTGTTGCACCAACAAAATTTCCAAAAAAAGAATCGTTTTTGTTTGTTTTTTTTTCAGTTCTCAATCAGATTTGAGTTTGATGAGCTTTTTTTTGTAGGTTTTCGCATTCGTGAGATCCGATCAATCAAACCGATCAGCTCACAAAGCCGACTGTCATGTCTGTGAGTGCACCCTGGAGTTCCGTACCAAAGTGGAGGTAAGAACGACTCGTTTTTTCCTTATTTTGCTTCATCGCCACGGCTTTTTGCGTTTGCGTTTACATTTAGAACGCCGGTACTGCATTTAGATTGTCATCTATAGGCTTCTAACAACAAATGATTGTTTGGTTTTTGTCTTTCTGCTACAGAAATGTGCGACACCGTTGGGTAGAAAATGGGTTTACGGCAGGATATACCTCGTTTCACGGCCAAGGAGAAATCGTCGTTCCAAGTTTACATAATTCTGACAAAGACGAAAATAATTTTTTTGGTGGATGATTTGCTACTCAATTGTGTATTTATCCAAAGAAAAAGGAGGATACTAGCAACTAGAAAGCTTTTTGTAACATTCAGAAGATTCATAAAAGATTGTTACTATGGTAACGTTTTTGTCTCTTGTAGACTTTTTCTTTCGAAAGATTACAAAAAGAAAACAGAGGTTGAATCTAGCGTCTGCTGCAGAGGGAAAAAAGAATGTTGCTCAGCTTTTTTTTTTTTCTTTTTCTTAGAAGTGTGCCAAACTATAGACAAGAATCCATGCGAGCTGAAGACAAAGACATTGAAATAGATTTCTGTTAAAACTCAAATAGACTGTCAAGGAAAGAGTTGAAATAGTTGAGATGAAAACAAACGTACCAAAAAGAGAGTAACAGACGCGAAGAGACCCTCTTGGAGTAAAGCTGCGTGGCCTCCGAAATCTTCTTCGTCAACCTTGAGAATCATTGCGTAGTAACCATAAACTATCCCTGAGGATATCGCCAAAAACCTGCCAAAAAACCCCATCGTTAAGTTCATCTTACATTATTATGTCACTAATCCTCGAGGTTTGAAAGCAATGTGATCAACAACAACAACAAAAAAAGCTGAACATCCCAAATCTCTCCTTGTCTCATTTGCTCATTGAAAGCTAAGAAACAAAACTGTGGCCTTAGTATATACAGTATACTGAGCCTTACAAGATGATCCAAATGCCTCCAACGAGTGGAACTGAGCCCCATAACAATCCACATATCAATCCCACCACTTGTCTGATCCAATGCAACACGTCTCCCAATTGATCCTGGCATCATCAACAATGTCCCAAATTCATTCAAAAATCGGGTTTCTAGAAATGAACAACTTGATCGGAGGCGGAGCGATTCGATTTTAACGCGTTATTGCTTCGAGAGAAGCTCTTATCGAAGTTTGATCCAGTACGATCGAGTACAAATCTAAATCAAAGCAGCTTCGAATATTGCTGAAAAACGACGGAGAAAAGAAGACAGTGGGTAGTTACCTTGTCCCAATAAGCATCGGGATCGAACAAATTCGCCAGTTTCGATGAAGACAAGTGAACGCTCTGATGATTATCCTGCTGTTGCTGCTGATTCAACTTGGCTGATTTCGATTCTTTCATCCTCGATTATAAACACACAAAAACTTGGATATCGAGAATCTGAAGCCTTGGAAGAAGAAAAATCCTCTTTTCGTGATTAAGATCCGAATTCAGCACCAGCGAGTGAAGATATAGTGGCGGAGCTGTGAGATGATGATTAAACTGTGAGCGCCGTTCATGTTTTGGATTTCGATCGAAGAGATTCGGACTGTGATCCAGATTTTTTATTTTTGGATTTTTAAGAAATTTAATAAAAAATAGTATAATTTGAGGAGACTTGACACAAATCCATTGATTTTCATTAATTATAACTTTGGAACAAGCTTCTAGACATTTCGGATCTGATGCCTCAAAAAATATTGTGTTTTTACAATGTACCCCTTATATAGAAAATTCAAAATTCTCCGTACTTCTGTTTCTTATCTGCTAAGCCTATAAAATTTTGTGTAAAAAATGTTTTAATCCATTGTGAGCTAAAAAAAGATAAAACAATTATCATTCGCTCCCTGATTAAAGTATTAATTTTAAGGCTTAAGCCAAGAATTTACAGTTTTAAGTCCCGCATATTTTACGTATATTACAGATCGAACCCATTTCTCATTCATTTTTTTAGTCTCCCTCCCTGTAAAGCTTCCAAGCCTTTCGTCTCTAAAGCTGAAGACGTTTTGATCAAATTCTGTTGAAAAATCAAACGCGTTAGATTTCTGGATTAGGATTTTATAGGTGAGAGATCACACAGAGATCCGGTTCTGAACAAAAACATGGGGAGCCCAAAGAAGAACGAGAACAAGGGCTTCTTCGCCGCCATGACCTCCGGCTTCTCCATGTTCGGCAGCGCCATGTCGAGATCCGTCAACGGGTCAGTTTCCTTATGAACTCTTGTTTTCCTATCTACCATAATTTTACATAACACTTGTGTTCGTTTGTGTGTGTGTGTGTATATAACACTCGAGGTTAAGCTTTTGCGTCCTGAATCGCTGTGATTGTTGTTCGTTTTTATTGGTTTACAGAGTTATAGATACTCTGTTTTTCTTTTTTTTGCATGATATGTTGTGTTATTGAATCAAGCTTATCGTCTTCAGGTGTTTCCTACTGTTGAATTTTATATTAGAAACATGGATAATTCTTCTATTATTAATTCTCCACAAGTCAATAAACATATCAAAATCATCTTGATCTAATTCTAGCTGCCGAGTACCGGTTTTCAATCTCTTGAAGTGAATTGTGTTGTATATGGTCCTCTTGATCGGGTGTTCGATTCATGAGAAACCATGTTGGTTTTGTTAATGGACGCTCGATACATTTCTTTTTCAGGTTGCTTAGTTATGAAGGAGTTGAGGTCATAAATCCAGAAGGTGGCAAGGAAGATGCAGAAGAGGAAGCTCAGAGAGGAAGGTGGAAGGACGAGGTAGCTAATCGCCTGATTTAGATTTTCTATCTTGCGTTTTTTTGTTTGTTCTTGATAACAACTATTTACTTAACCGCAGAAACTTATCTGTTGTGCTTCATAGGAACGAGATAGTTACTGGAAGATGATGCAGAAGTATATAGGCTCGGATATTACGTCTATGGTGACACTTCCTGTTATCATATTTGAGCCAATGACTATGCTCCAGAAGATGGCGGAGGTTAGTGTTATATCTTATTCTCGTCTGTTTGTGAGTTTGTTGTTGGTTTATTTTCCTGCACGGTAATAACATTTGCAACATTTCTAACAGTTAATGGAGTATTCCCACTTGTTGGATCAAGCAGATGAATGCGAGGATCCATACATGCGTTTAGTATATGCTTGTAAGTAAAAATATCTCTAAGAATGGAATTGACTTCCGTTTTTGTTAGACTTCTTTTTCTGTGAGGTTGAATGGGAATATTTGTTCAGCATCATGGGCTATATCTGTTTACTTTGCCTACCAACGAACGTGGAAGCCTTTCAATCCTATTCTTGGAGAGACGTATGAAATGGCCAACCATGGTGGAATTTCATTTCTTTCTGAGCAGGTGCAGCTATACGCTTGATTGCTATCAGCGTAGTGGATATAATACATCTAGTTTGCAATAAGCTGTCTATGTTTGACTCGTCTTTGTTTTGTTTCAGGTTAGTCATCATCCCCCAATGAGTGCTGGTCACGCCGAAAACGAGCACTTTACTTACGACATCACGTCAAAGCTGAAAACTAAGCTTTTGGGTAACTCTGTTGATGTTTACCCTGTTGGGAGGTAATTTTGTTCCTATCTATGATCCGCTTCTCTCTCATTTTATTAAGGACGAAACTTCTTGCTGCATGTACTATTTCTTTTCAGTAGTTCTCCAACGTATGTCTGAGTTGAAACGAAGGAACCAAACCATTCTCCTGTGTTATCTTTTTACGTTAGAAACACAACAAATTGTGATGTAACTACTGTGCTAGTATCTATTCTGTTTATGTTTTTCAACTAAGCTCATGCATCCTGTCTATTGGATTGCAGAACGCGTGTAACCCTCAAAAGAGATGGCGTGGTTCTGGATTTGGTGCCGCCTCTGACTAAGATTCACAATCTAATATTCGGACGAACGTGGGTTGACTCACCCGGGGAAATGGTGATGACAAATTTAACTACTGGAGACAAAGTTGTACTCTATTTCCAGCCATGTGGTTGGTTCGGGTAAATGACAGACAACACATTTCTTTACCTTATTGTTTTGTGATACTCTGTTCATTTTTCCTGCGTGCTTATTGGTAAATGCTTATTGGTAAAAGTTTACTTCCTTGATCTCAGTTCTGGTCGCTATGAAGTGGATGGATACGTTTACAGCGCAGACGAAGAACCTAAAATCATGATGACAGGAAAATGGAATGAGAAAATAAGCTACCAACCTTGTGACACCGAGGGAGAACCTCTTCCAGGCACAGAGCTTAAAGAGGTCTCTCGTTTTCTCTCCCTATTACACTTTTACCACGGTGTGCCTGATAATAGTTTGCATCCTTGTGATTCTCATCAGCATTGTTTTGCTCATTAGTGTTTGCTTATGCCCTTTTTGTTTTGTATTGTTTCGTTCAGGTGTGGCATTTGGCTGATGTCCCCAAAAACGACAAATTTCAGTACACCCACTTTGCTCACAAGATAAACAGCTTCGACACAGCTCCTGCTAAGCTCTTGGCTTCAGACTCACGTCTCCGTCCTGATAGATATGCCCTTGAGCAGGGTGACCTTTCTAAAGCTGGTACCGAGAAGCACAGGTTCTTCATCTTTTCTTCCTTACTCAAATTTTTTTATTACAAACTTCAAGTCTTGCTACATCACACAAAGCAACACTGTTATGCTCACGAGGTTCTTCGTGGTGTCTCTTTTTTTTTATATCAGCCTTGAGGAGAGACAAAGAGCAGAAAAGAGGACCCGAGAGACAAAGGGACAGAAGTTCACTCCAAGATGGTTCGATCTGACGGATGAGATCACAGCTACGCCATGGGGAGATATTGAAGTATACCAATACAACGGGAAGTACACGGAACACCGAGACACAGCAGCGAGCTCGAGCAGTGCCTCCGATGAAGCGGACCTCAAATCGATCGAGTTTAATCCTTGGCAATATGGTAATATATCAACCGAATGAGGGTAACATCTCATGCTTTTAAAATGTTGTGATTCATGGACTCTTGAAAATGAGATCCATGTTGGTTTTAACTTTGTTTCAGTCAGGGTGAAAAGACTGATGACGATAGGTTTGAGTGATGAAACATAAGATTGTGTTTATGTCTTATTGTATCTTTTGTTCCATCTCGATCATAAGTCATTTATGTTTGTTATGTTTCTTGTTTTTAGAGTTATGTGGTCTTTACACACCATTTTAGTTTTCCATTTCGAGCAGATTAATATACTTATCCCCTTCATTTTTGGATTTGAATATAATAACCTCAAGCTTCCCGTCCGTGGATTAATGTAGTTTAGTTGCTTTGACTATCATAAAACTAATTATATAGATGATTGTTAGCACATGCAAAACGTGAAGATATTCTTTAATCACAGTGTGATGCTGAAGATAATATAGACGCAAAAATAATCAACACAACAATAACCCATAAGTCTCTCCAGGTGATGACACCTAAGCTTTTTCAGGCTTTCTCAACATGACACTTCAACAAAAAAATCAACCAATAAGAATATTTTATTAATACAACTCATTTAAAAAAAACTTTTAATTCATTTGGGTCAAAATTTTTATCCAAGATTAACAACTAAATAAAACCCATTACATTTGAAAGCCCATAAGATCCTTTGATATAAATAATTATTTAAAACAAAACAAAATTTCTCTCTTTTTCTTTCAAATTATCATTAAATATCAGGTCTCCTCAATCTTATTTTATTACTCTGCCTGCTGCATCGGATTTATGCGTTCTTCTTTTTAAAGAAATATGGATAAACAACAAGATACTACTAGCAATTTTTTAGTTTACTTTCTTAGAAAACAATCTTTTAGTTTTAAGTTTGATAATTATTTTGCTTTCTTTTTAGGTAGAAAGATTCCCAAATTATTATCCTATTATAGTTCAACCTTTGGCTGACTTTTCGCAGGAAAATACAATTTCACAGTTTTTTGAGAAAATGCGATTTTGACGATTTTGGCGGAAAAATGCAATTTCTCAGTTTTGTTAGGAAAATACGATATCTCGCTTTGACGAGAAAATAATTTTTCTTGGCTTTGGCGGGAATAGGGAATTTATCAGTTTGGCGGAAATAGGGGATTTCTTGGTTTCGATAGAAAATTGTGATTTTCAGTTTTGGTAAGAAAACATAATTTTCGGTTATGGTGGGAAAAGCGAATTCTCGGGTTTGGCGTGAAAATGTGAATTTTCAGTTTTGGTAAGAAAACAAAAAAAAAATTGATTTTGATAATAAAACAAAATATCTTAATTTTGACGTGAACTTGTGATTTTCAGTTGTGATGGAAAATGCAACTTTTCAATTTTGACTAAAAAATGTGATTTCTCTTTTTTGATAGGAAACACAAATTTTTGACTTTTGATGGATAATATGATTTATTGGTTTTCGCGGGAAAATGGGTTTTCTTAGATTTCGAGAGAAATTGCAATTTCTCGATTTTGATGGGAAATGTACATTTTCAGTTTTTGACAAATAATGCGATTTTTTGGTTTTCGTGGAAAAAAAATTCCTCAAGAGATAATTTAAGTTTTGGTTTTTGCGAGAAATTGTAGTTTATTGGTTTTGGTCGGAAAGCGTAGTTTTTAGATTGACGAGAAAATAAATTATTTGGTTTTGGTGGGAATAGACGATTTCTCGGTTTCTGCGGGAAAATGAACTTTTCGGTTTTGACGGGAAAATACGATTTTTGGGTTTTGTATGAAGATGAAATTTTTTGGTTTTGGTGAAAAAACGTAATTTCTCGGTTTTGGCAAAAAAACACAGTCTCTCGCGGGAAAATGTGGTTTCTTGGTTTTTGCGAGAAAATACAATTTTTCTGTTCTAGTGGGAAAATAAAATTTTATGTTTGACGATAAAATGAATTTTTTTGGTTTTGGCGGGAATATGTGATTTCTCAGTTTTCGTAGGAATATGTAGTTTTTTGTTTTGACGGGAGATTCGATTTCTCAGTTTTTGTAAGAAGATGAAATTTTTCTTTACTAAAATTTCAAGTTACAATATGTTTACAGTAACCAAAATTTAATTATTTAACTTCAACTAAATTGAAAGTTCAAGAGTTTAAATAGAATTTTCTGTTTGGTTCGAAAACAACAACAATGGTTTTAATATGAATGTTATTGATTATAGTTTGGTGGTTTTAGAAACATATGTTTATAATAAATATTTGATAAATAAATAATTTTTATACTTCAAAATAATCATATTAATTAATAAAATTGTTTTTAAATGACATTTTGCTTTACATAATTACAACGGAGGATCAAGTGGCAATTTAGTGGAGAAAATATATTATATTTACCATTACCATGAAAGTACTTAAAAATGTATTGTTTTATTCTTATATATACATTTATAGTTAGTTAGCTAAACAAATTTAATAGCTATTTATAATTTTAAAAAGTAAAAAAAATTAAGGATATACAATGTTTATTCAGATTAAAAAATATATAAATATATAACTTAAGCTACTAAAAAAATAAAAAATACTCATTTACATTACAAAAATAATTTTATTATATTAAAAATATATATAAAATTTAGAAAAATATCCCGCAGCGTAGCGCGGGTAAATACCTAGTTTTAATAAAAACATCATCTATGATTTTGTGAATCATTAGTCAAAATATATTGTAATGTTAATTGGACAAAAATACAAGGATACAAATGTGATTACATCATATGTTGTTCCGTGACTTCCGTCTTCGTTGAAAACAAAAACAAACAAGTTTGTTCCGTGTGTTCGAGTATTATTACACGGTCATGTCTATCTAATTAAATGGAGGAAATTAAAAAGTAGTATTATGAGCCGCCTTGTGAAGCATACCATCTTTGATAGTCAAAATCACGTAAAAAAGAGAGATTGTACAAGTGTTGAGAATCATCTCTTCTACGTCAACCATGTCTCCTAAAGTTTCATCCTACCTTTATGCTCTTCACTCGATCTCTCTTCTTATCTTTTTCCCCATGCGTCAAATGCGCTTTATCCTAATTTCTTATATAGTCTAAATTCATACAGGCAAAATCATATTTCACAACACAAAATAATCTAGCTACACAATTTAAAAAAGTTATAAACACAAAACAAGAATACAAAAAATTTCTATATATGTAACAAAAAGAGGAGATATATATACGAAAGTAGGAGAAACGACAAAGTTCTTATTAGGTTCAATGGTAGTCTCATGTGTTTTCAATAAGTCTTTTGAGTTTCAAGACGTCATGCAAACTTTGTGATACGTTTTTGTAATCCACAAAAGTTTGGTTTCTCCTCCGCAGCTTTTAATATAATTTTTGCCTTTTGTTCATTTGGCCAAAATGTTAGATAGATTCAAATATTAAAAATATCAAGAAAATTCGAATTCTATATATATCATACATCCAAATGTATCCAACAATGTTTCAGTTCTGTATCCTTCAGATGTATCCTTCAAAGTTCTAAGAACCAATCATACATCCAAATAAGATTCCTAGTACTGGATTTCCGATCGATTGCTGCTATAGATAAGAACCAATCAAAAGTAATTAAAATAAATGTATTTATCCTCACAGTACTGAATATAATTATTTAATAGATGGGCCAATAGATTTTCCATCGAACTTCATGATAAAGCGCTTAATTATTTCAACTTCTTTTTCTTCAGAAAAAAATATAATAGTAATAAATTATTTCATCTTATCCTTTCTAAGAATAAAGGGTTTGGCTGTTTCGAAATTTTATCATGTAAACATCACAATCTAGCAAAATTATAATATTACAGTATCTAAAAAAACATTAGTTTTATAAAAAAAAATTATAATATTTTATCAGTTTAGTTCACATCGGCATTATTTTTTTTTTTAAAAGTGGACTGTGTGTGTTTAGATGAAAATTAAATTTTATCGAAATAAAAAATGTTTCAGATTTTATTTTCGGAACGGAACTTTGACTAATATAGTAATTGACGTTTAAAAACTGGTTGATAACGTATCGTTAAGTTAAAATATTTTATAACTCTATGCTTTGCCACTCCCGATAATTATCACTGTCTTAAAGTGGGACCCACTAGTTAGGCCTGTGGACCTGCCTAGCAAGGACCAACGCCGTTACACCGAACTCTCGATGAATACATGATAATCCTTCCCACGGCGTTAACTTTCGACGGTTTTTGTTTAGTTGGAGAGTCTCTTTTCGTATTCTGAAAAATGACTGAAAACGTGCAACAGAGCCTCTCGTTTGCATATCTACGTACGTAGGTTAGATTATATTTACATTTTTTTCTTACTTCTCAGAGAATCTCTGCCGTTCAAATGAAGCAAAGCGATCGGAACTGCAGAATAATAATATACGATCGTGTTTTGCTTAAATGTTAAATAGGGATATAAAGCTTCCGGATTTTTTTTACTTGAGAAAAAAAAAAGAATAGACGATCGTGAATTCGTGATGTAACATATTGGCTGAACTAGCAAAAAAGGATTAGAGGTAAAGAATATTTGAATATAAGCTACATAGTGTAGAGGTAGATCCACCTGCCACGTGACAGAATGTCGTATAGTTACAGCTTACAGACAGGTTATCTCCACTAATCCAAATAATAATTTTTATAATATATCCCATTCCATTATTCTATTGTTGTACTTTTAGACTATACTATGAAGTATGAACTAAACTCGACGACTCTTAACGATAAAGGGTAGATCTCTAATATATATATACTTGGTAGCTCCACATTTTTTTTGTTATTTCTAGCTTTTAAAATGATTTAGTTTTTTTTTTTTTTTTTTTTTTTTTTTTTTTTTTGAACAAATTAAAATGATTTTTTTAATTTTCAAATTTCTATAAGAACTGAATCACCGCATTATGAATATAATAAGATTTTTTATTTATTTTTTTAAATATGATCAAAACTTTTAAAACGAACATAAATTATTCATTAGATTTCATTAGGGTATAAAATTGGAATTAAATTAATTTTAGTATTTTTTCTTAAAACATCTCATATAATTTTTTTGGTTTTAGACATGTAGTATCTGATTGGCTAGATATCTCGAGTCATGTGATGATACATCTTCGCCACGTGGTGAGATCTGGAGGGGGTTACAAGCAAGTCGAGCGTGGCGGGGAACCTGGTCTTTAGGTGAATGCGTCCACCGATTACAGCCGGTTAAGACAGAGGATATTACCGACAGGTCCGGTGGAAAAGGTCAATATAGGCTAAAAAGGGTTTAAGCAAAAAACGTGGTCGTCTTTCACAAGGGTTTTTGTTTTTTGGGCGTTTCGCAGAGAGAGAGAGAGAGAAATAGAAAAAGAAAAGAGATTGATTTTGCTTGTGGTGAGAGAAGATCGCATCGTGTGGGTAGCGTTTCAAACAAGTAAAAAAAAAAAAAAAAAAAGTTTCCGTCACTTTCTCGGGGAAACGCATGTGTTAAGAAGGACAATTTGTGAGGAGGGGTTTTGGTGTGAGTCCATTTTTTTTGCGTTTGTCTTTTTTTTTTCCTTTTCCTTTCCGATCTCGCAATTGCCGGTTTATTCGCCGGAAAATTGACCTTAATTTCGTTCTTTTTGAGGGATAATCGTCTAGAAACTTGAAGATTGGGGTTATAAAAGGTGAGACAATTAAGAGTCTTTCGTTGATTTATCTTCCCGATTCTATTTGGAAGACGAGAAGACTCTGTTAATTTTCATTTTCAAGGGAATTTCGGTCTGCAAAATTTTCTGGGTAACCAAACACTGTTTTTTTCCTTGGAAATTGATTTCTTCCCCTTCCGTATTTTTGCATATTTTTCTTCGATTTTTTTTTCGTGGATTTTATTTTTACCCGACGACAATCATGTTCGTCGATCTGTGTTTTCCGATCTGAGATTTAGAAATGGTTTTTATTTTTTTTGCACACTCGTGATCTGTTGATCCTGAGATCGAAGTTTTGGTTCATCATCATAGGGTTTAAGGTTTTCCTGTCCGGAAATCATTTGAAACTACGGTTTGACTCTGGTTTCCCGATCTCATATCGACTAGGGTTTAAGGGTGGTTTAAGCTATTTTTCACTGGGCTTGACCCAGAAAGTTCAAAACCCTTGCTTTTTTTTTCCTCCTTCATGCAGTAATTCCAAAGATCAAATCTAATGTTCTGTATTTTCATTTTCTCAAAATTTTCTCAGTTTCATTTAAATCTAGATTCACTGTATATTTTCCTAATACAATTTTCCAATTTTTCCTACAGCTTACGAATTACTTTAAGCCATTATCGTGTTATGCATTCTGAGAAATGGTGTCGCATAAGTGTGTAGACGAATTTGGATACAAAGGCTACCTGTTACCTGCCAATGCAAGAGCACCCAGATCAGCGCGAGTAATGGCATTTACCTTTAATCCATTATCAATAATTGATAATCAGTTTATATACTTACTCGAGTTTCACATTCTTTTTTGGCCAGAAGAGGCGCAGCTTTGAGAAGGAGATAAGTGAAGATGATCATCAAATGTGTGCCATTGATTTATTAGCCACCGTAGCTGAAAACGTGCTGTTTGGGAACGAGAGTTCCCTCATGTCTATCGACAATGGGATTGAAAGTAACTGCGTGGTTTCACGGATCAGCGTAAAAGAGGAGTTCCCGGTGGAGGAAGAAGAACCCGTAAAGCCGGTAACTTCAATGAGCCCTTGCGGATTCAGTTCCGTGATTAATGCCAAAGCAGAGAACGAGGCAGATGGTTTTAGTAACTCTGGTGCTGGTGATTCTTGTCAAGTCGGGAGCTTTGGTGAGGATGTTAAACCTGGTGTAGACGGCGGTGAAGTAGTTCTGGATGCGAGACCTGATGTTGTAGTTAGTTTAGGTAGTAGTAGTAGAACCAAAGTGCCTCCAATGGGGAACGGTGCTATGGATGATGTAAATTTGTTTAGTAGAGATGATGACGAAAACTTTTCTGGGTATATTTGCCCTCGTGTGACCAAAAAGCCACCTAGGTCTGTGCCGCGTATTGGTGACAGAAGAATCAGGAAGATATTGGCTTCTAGACACTGGAAAGGAGGTTCAAGGCATTCAGGTAATATAGCCCGCCTAAGGGTTCTTGTCTTTTTTTTTTAAACATCGTAGGTACACTGATGGGTTTTGTTTTGAAAAGTTGCATTTGAGCGTTTGCAGATGCGAAGTCGTGGAGAAATTATCACTTGCACCATCAGAGGAGCTATCCTATTAAGAAAAGGAGACACTTTGATCACATTTCTGATTCTTTCTCTGATGATTATCGTCTGCGTACTAAGATGCAAAGAGGTAGAGAGACTGTTTTTTTTTGTTTATAATCCTCCCTCTTTATAGATCTCGTAGCTTTTTGTTGTTGTTGTTGTATTGAGATTCTACAAATTTTATTTGTAGGCAGCAGAACCATCTCTTCGATGAAGGGTCAAGGCGCAACATTTGTGTCAAGCGACTCTCATGGTAACAAAGTAGTCTCGTTTGAAATATTTTGTTGGCTCTACTTGTTTATGAGAATGGAGAAGCTTACGTGAGAATGTATTTTTTTGTCTTTTATGTCTCAGTGAGACTGCGGATCAAGTCATTCAGGGTGCCCGAGCTTTTTGTAGAGATTCCAGAAACTGCTACTGTTGGCTCCTTGAAGGTAACAATCACTACCAAGCTCTTTAATTACTTTTCATTTTCCCTCCTATTAACTCACTTGTTTTGTTTCTGATGGTTCTTTTGCTTCTGCAGAGAATGGTGATGGAAGCAGTGAGCAGTTTATTGAGTGATGGACACCGAGTTGGTCTGATGGTTCAAGGGAAGAAAGTCCGAGATGATAACAAAACCCTTCATCAGACTGGGATCTCTCAGGATAACGACCACTTGGACTCTCTTGATTTCAGCCTTGAACCCAGCTCAGAAAAGCCTCAACTGTTATCTAGGTTCACACTTCTTCTATTCGCAACTCACATCCGCAACAGCTTTTTGAAAAAAACTCAAATCTTTAGCGGCTTAAGCTCTTGTTTTGTTTTTCCAGTAACCCGGCGGGACATGTCTGCGAGGAACTGCCTATGTGCCATGCTTCTGACATGGTCACCGTGTTCAAATCTGAGCATGATTCAGCACTGTACCCATCTGACTCATTTGGCATGAAAACCGCAACAGATGATTCTAAAGTTCTGGTTCCTGTCGGTCTCACTGATCTGTCTCCTCGACCGCCTTGTCGTAAATCTAAAAGGAGTGAGCAGCAGCAACAGACTGCACAACGTAGAATGCGTCGACCTTTCTCAGTTGCTGAAGTAGAAGCACTTGTTCAAGCAGTTGAGAAACTCGGTACTGGAAGGTAAATTTCATTTCAAATGACATTGTTATTTTTGTGATTGTTTGAGTAGAAGAGAAGTGATATAAGTTTGGTTAAATCCGCAGGTGGCGAGATGTTAAGCTTCGTGCTTTCGAAGATGCAGATCACCGCACATACGTTGATCTCAAGGTTTGCATTTTTAGTCCGTACCATACTTAACAATCTCTTGACCCAAATCCGCATGATTAGATCTGAGTCCAGCGTCTGGTTTTTTGTGTAGGACAAGTGGAAAACGCTGGTCCACACGGCGAAGATATCGCCACAACAGAGGAGAGGAGAGCCAGTGCCGCAGGAACTTCTAAACCGGGTCTTGAACGCTCACGGCTACTGGTTACAGCAACACATGCAGCTGCTAGAGAGTACGAACAGTAAGCTGCAGCAAGAGACATTGCCTCAGGCAGAGGCTCTGCTGCTTCTCTAATCAAGTCCTCTCTCCTTTGTGTATTATTATCGATGATATGTAAGTTTCTGACATAGATGCAGAGATTTGGTCTTTGACTTGTTTCTTGGTTTTTTTTTTACTTTCTCAATGTAAAGTTAATAAGGTTGTTCTTCACCAGTTTAGAGATTTTAGAGGATTTTTTATGTACATCTTTTGTCACATTTTTAGTATATCTACTACAATTTCTTTCCAGACTTTTTTTCTTTGTTCTTCAATATATTATACTCTGTGTGAAGGAATATAGTTCTGCACAAAATGTAATACAACAATCTTCCAATCAGTAGGGGTTAAAAATCCTAAACAATATAAGGCTTTTATTGTGGAAATTATAAGTGTTTGAATTAATGATCAAATCGTTGAAAAATCTGTGAATAAATGATGAGCTCAATCAAAAATAAGTATCTTAATCAGAGATCCTACTTGGCATAATCCAAATTTTATAGAATCGTCGAATCGACCAGATCAATGTCAGATCTGATGTCTCAGGCCAGGCTGGAAGTTGAACATTTTCGAACCAAATCGGACCGGCTGGTCGGATCGGTCGTTCTGAGAGCCAGTTGAAAACCCGGTTCAGATGTTAGCAGAGTCGCAGAGAACCCAATGTTCTTCTATGAACCGGAAAACAGCTAACCGGTCGGTACTTAATTCAGACTAAAATGCTCGGAGCTACTCGACGGTTCTGAACTGTGTAAAAAACCTAAGCCTTCTCTCTGGCTGTTTTTGTCGATTCTTCTTCACGCCGTCGACTGCTTCTTCTCCACCAGCGAAATCCGGCTACGTTTCACCACCTTGGCGAGCCTCTTGTTGATGTTACGGACGAGTGTTGGTTCGAGGTGAGTCCAATACAACGAAACGCCTTTCCTTTTCGCGATTCTGTATATTTACTTATCATGAATGTTTATTTCGAAACGTGTCTGATGGAATTTAGCGTTTAAAATAAGGGTCTGGGCATCTTACTCTAATTTTGAGATCCTGAAATTTGCCTTCATCGCGCAGGTTTTAGCTGGGAAGGGCATGAAACGGATCTGCTCGTTTTCAAGTGTTAAACTTTGTAAGTAAAGCAAACTGAAACTTCCTTCTCATTTCGTTGTGCTCTTGAATATGATATGTGCTGCTCAGTGAACTTCAAATGGGTACAATGTTGAATGAAGAAGTGAAATTTGATACTTTGTGATTTACAGACTAATGAAATTGTTCACAAGTTTCTAAATTTCGTGAATCTGAACATATTTTTTGCTCCCATCCGCTATTGAATCTGTTACGTGTTCATTAGTTTCCAGAAGTTTCAGAGCTTTAGCATTGCCACAATCCTTGAACTATCCCGCACATTCACTCAAGCGCTCATCAGTTCGGATGGAGAATCGTAACTTATCTTCTGCTCTCAGAACCGAAAGCAATGCGACGAAGCCAAGAGGAGCGTTGATTGTTCTAGAAGGTCTTGACCGCAGCGGGAAATCAACGCAGTGCGCAAAGCTGCTCTCTTTCTTGGAGGGTTCAGGTCATCCGACCGAGCTCTGGAGATTTCCCGACAGGGAGACGAGTGTCGGCCAGATGATATCCGCGTATCTGTCTAACAAGTCGCAGCTAGATGATCATACCATTCATCTCCTATTCAGCGCCAATCGTTGGGAGAAAAGGTTCTTCTTATCTTCTTTGCTTACTTAGTTCCCATTCTTTGATCCTCTAATGATTTGTAAGATGTCACCTACATTTCTTTGCAGGTCATTGATGGAGGAGAAGCTTAAGTCAGGCACTACGCTTATCGTTGATCGTTATTCGTACTCTGGTGTAGCTTTCTCATCAGCTAAAGGTCTCGGAATCGAGTGGTGCAAGGCGCCGGAAATCGGGTTACTGGCTCCGGATTCTGTACTTTACCTTGACATTTCACCTGAAAGAGCTGCTGAGAGAGGTGGATATGGAGATGAGAGGTACGAGCGAGTGGAGTTTCAGAGGAAAGTTGCTGACTTTTATCAAACTCTGCGTGATTCTTCATGGAAGGTGAAAGACTCTTTGTTTGTTTCTCTGTTAGAGTCAACACAAAATTAAAACTAAACCTTTCACATGTTTGTGGGAGATGCAGATAATCGATGCAGGTGAAGCAATGGAGGAAGTAGAGAAGAAGATTCAAGAAGTGGCATTAGATAGAGTCGAAGAGTGTGCTAAAGGAAAGCCTCTTTCTCTCCTCTGGTCATCTTGAATTCTTGATGGTTTCTCTCCACAAGGAACAATATTGAAGAAGACACAAAAGTAAAGATTTATGGGCCGTACAAGCCCATTAACAGGCTCAATTTATTTGCTATCGTCGCTCATGACGTCTTTAGCAATGATTTTGCGTGTAAAATAATAATTTAGCGACATTAAAGAATGGACAAATCATTAAACGATACTGCGTCAGGTTTAACTAAACACAAGTTGAAGAATAATCGTCAGTAATTAACAATAGTATCAGTAGATTAAGGGTAACATCATCAATGGAATCTTTAATTCAAAGCAACATACAATGTGAGAGGAAGTAAATCACGCTCTCTCGGCCTGATATTGTAGTTGTGATTGGTTCGTGTCGATCACACGCGTCGATTTTGCGCATGGGAGAAATTATCTATGAGATCAGCTTTTTGATTAGTACAAGATTTATATTCTTCAGGGTCAACTCAACATAAATTCATATAAAACAACACCCAATGGAATGATTAACATCAAATTAAGAAACTATATGTTAATACGTCATATCAAAAATTGAGTAACTAAACATCTGAGAAATACTTAAAATCTCTTATTTTTTTCTTTTCTAGAACATAATCCAGGACTTAGCAATCCATTCACAAGAAACACATGTATAACCCATAAACCATGTGTTAAATGGCCATTAATAACTTCTGCTTCCAAAGGTTAGTGGAGGAGGATGTTTTCTTGGATTCTTTATGAGAAGGAGAGACTTTCGAAGTTTTTATGGGACAAGAAAATTATTGAGAAAACATACACTTTAATTAGTTACAAAAAAAGGCATAAGCTTTAATTAGAATCTTAGCATATGATATTATAGAAACGAAAATATTTGGGAGATAAGCTGAATGTAGACAAACAAGTCACGATCATCTTGAATATTCCTCTTTCTTCCCTTACCCTTTCTCTTTCCCTTTATATGGCTACTGTATACACAAGACTCTATGCCAATCAAATTATTAAATCATTAATCATAATTCTATAATATATAAATTATTGTCAGGACCGTATTAAGGAACCTAATCGCATCGTCTTTTGAACTTTGACTGTTCAAGAAAATATAGACAGAGTCAAAGATATGAAATGATTTTCTTAATGATGAGTTAATAATAAGAAACAATTATGTTTGGTATCCACGTTCCCTTCACCCAAAAAATTGTCCAATTCCTTGGACATCAAGATTTATCTTTATTAATATATACAATATACTGTATTGTTTTTTTTTTTCTTGAAAAGAATCTTAGAACTAATCGATGTTAGAATACCAATCATCTAGTGTATTTTTCTATATAGATTTGATTAATTGCTGCATTGATGTATGGACATCTTAAACAACGAACTACTAATTAAAACTCTGAATAGCACAATAGGAACAAATCTACGGGATAGTTTCATAGCTGTTAGAAAATAGACGTGAGATGGTATCAAAATAAATTTTCTTTGAATTCACAAAAATCGAGTATTTTATTTACAAAAGAAGTAAAAAAGACCCTTGACTTTTATTTATGACAAAGCTAATGCAAGTGGGGAGTGCTGAAAGAAAAAGATAACAAGCAAAACTACAGAACCCTATAAGTAGTTGCAGATAGATCCGACACAAATTAACTAACCTTTTATCACTATGTGTTTTTAATAAACTTTGATTCATTTTATGTGGCGGCTTGTGTTTCCTCGAAAGTTCCTTAATTTTCCCTGCAAATGTCATAAAACAACATAATCCCTCAACTATAAATTTAAGCTCCTTTATACTGTGTTCACATTAACCTTCTTTGCACCGCTTTGACGCTTTCTCATCTCCGTCTTCTTCTTCTTTCTCTGCTCGTTGAAAAAAAAAAAAAAAGATTCCCTTTTCAAACTCTTTTCGTCTTCGTCCTTCGAGAATTCCATGGACGGGCTTCTTCAAGTATCACTCGATGGTTTCAGATTCGAGAACGGATCTGGATCTGGACCTTGCTGCAAACCCAGAAACAATCTCGACTCCGATAACAATCTCTTCCCCAATTTCAGCGAACCCGAGACTCAGAACCAGTCTTCACCGAACGATTCTCCTCCGTCTATATGTTTGGATAACTCCCCTGTTCTTAAGTACATCAATGACATGTTGATGGACGAAGAAGATTTCGTAGGGGAAGATTCTCGTTTGCTGCAGAACGATCTAGCCTTACAAGCTGCCGAGAGATCCTTCTACGAGATCATCCAGCAACAATCCCCTGAATCTGACCAGAACACAAGCTCCTCCGATCAAAACTCCGGCGACCCTGATTGCAGTTTTACCGCGAACTTCAGCACAACGTCGACTTTAACAGATTCATCAGCGCTGGCTTCGAACGGAGAGTCGCAGAGAAGGTACCGTCATCGAAACGACGAAGAAGATGATCTTGAGAATGGTCGGAGAAGCAAACAACCTGCGATTTTCATCTCGGAGATGGAAGAGCTAGCGGCAAAGCTGGAGCACGTGTTGTTGGTATGCAAAGCGAACCAAGAAGAAGAAAGTTCAGCTTCGGCAATCACGAAACAGAGTCCACCACCACCAAACAGAACAGGACGAGTAAAAGGTTCATCAAGCAGATCCAAGGCGCCAAAACCTAACCCCGTTGATCTCCGGAGCCTCTTGACGCAGTGCGCGCAAGCTGTAGCGAGCTTTGACCAGAGAAGAGCAACAGATAAACTCAAGGAGATTAGGTCACACTCTTCTAGCAGCGGCGACGGAATTCAAAGACTGGCTTATCACTTTGCAGACGCGCTCGAGGCACGTATCACCGGAATCATCTCGCCGCCGGTTTCTACTGCGTTTCCTTCTAGCACGACATCGATGGTAGACATCTTGACGGCGTACAAGCTGTTCGTTCATGTTTGCCCCATCTACGTAACGGATTACTTTGCTGCAAACAAATCAATCTACGAGCTTTCCTTGAAATCAGATAAGCTTCACATCATTGATTTTGGTGTTCTCTACGGCTTTCAATGGCCCTGTCTGTTACTAGCCCTGTCTAAACGACCGGGCGGACCACCGATGCTCCGTGTGACTGGAATCGAGCTGCCACAGTCAGGTTTCCGTCCTTCAGACCGGGTCGAAGAGACTGGCCGGAGACTGAAAAGGTTCTGCGATATGTTCAACGTCCCGTTTGAGTTCAACTTCATAGCCAAGAAATGGGAAAGCATCAGTCTTGATGAGATCACGATCAATCCAGGAGAGACGACGGTCGTCAATTGCATTCACCGGCTACAATACACTCCCGATGAGACCGTGTCGCTGAACTCTCCGAGAGACACGGTTCTGAAGCTGTTCAGAGATATCAACCCTGACCTCTTTGTGTTTGCAGAGATCAACGGAACGTACAACTCTCCTTTCTTCATGACGAGGTTCCGAGAAGCGCTCTTCCATTTCTCTTCGCTCTTCGACATGTTCGACACCACCATACAAGCGGAGGATGAGCACAAAAACAGGGCACTGCTTGAGAGAGAGCTGCTTGTGAGAGACGCGATGAGCGTGATTTCCAGCGAGGGCGCTGAGCGGTTCGCGAGGCCTGAGACCTACAAGCAATGGCGGGTTAGGATCTTGAGAGCCGGGTTCAAGCCAGCAGCAATGAGCAAACGGATCATGAAGGAGGCTAAAGAGATCGTGAGGAAACGTTACCATAAAGACTTTTTGATCGATAGTGATAGCAACTGGATGCTTCAGGGATGGAAAGGAAGAGTCATCTATGCTTTTTCTTGCTGGAAACCTGCAGAGAAGTTCACAACAGAGAATCATTTCATCATTTGAAAATTTTGTGTTGGTTTCTCCATTGCTTCATTTTTTTTGCTTGTTTCCCAAATGGTATTGTAGAATCTGTTTTTGATCGCATGAATGGAATGTATCTCTTCTTTTCTGCAAGTACATAATAATAATAATCATGGATTCAAACCTTACTCAAAACACAAACTGTTTCATCATAGATCTGGACCTACCACAAGCATACAATATCCATATAGAAGGAAAGTTCAAAACTTTTTAGCTGTAATTAATCAATCTATCAAACGGGTTGCAACACCAAGTGAATGATGACGATACAGACAGCGTAACGAAAGATCTACTACCACATATGAACCGACGAAAACTAGTTGCAAATAGGTTGCAGCGGGTTAGCTAATTTAAACCCTTTTTGGTTTGAGGTTTTGGTGGCTTCAAAACGCTCCATGCTGCCTTCCTGCTCTTCGGTTTCTTGAAAGCATCGCCTTTACTACTGCTCGGCGATGGGTTGTCACTGCTCTGAAGTTTCCTTGGAGACTTGTTTGGACGGTTTTGCTCCTCAGAGACTTCCTCAGACTGTTTCCTTTTCAAGTCGCCATTTGTTTCCCGGCTTATCTCAACCTTCGGTTCTCTGAAAGAGCATTGCATTTTGACTAGTTACAGATTCAAAATTGTAAAGAGATGAGAAACCAGATATGAAACAAATGGCTTAATCTGTCTCCAGCACTATTCTGCTGAATGCATGTGATATTAATTTGGTGAAGAAACGAAAAGGGATAATAAAAAGCAGAGGGTAGAGATGAGACCTAAAAGACATTCTTCCACCATTACTGTTAGAGCTTGTGGGAGAATCATCTGGTTTCCGAACGTTTAACGCCTCTTCGTTCAATTTCTAAGGAGAGAAGAGTTTTAGTTTCAGAAAGCTGAAAGGGAAGAAGAAGATCAATCGCAAACTATTTCAGGCCTCAGCGCCACACACACGAACCTCGATAGAAGGATTGAAAGACTGAAACGACATGCGTCCTAACAATGCTCCTGGCTCAGGAGCCCAGTCTGTTATGACCACACTGCATCAAAATTCAAATCATATACAACCAAACACGTCATTACCGGATCCTGTCATATGGTAATGTCAAGTGCACACAAAACAACAAGAACAAAGGGTAGACAAACGTAAACACAATGTCCTCGCTTCTAGTAATGTGATGAAACAACGACGGGATTATAAAACATTAACACCAAGTCAAATAAAAAGATGGCGATACCACTTCTTTGCAATTCCGGGGGAGTGAAAATCCCCATTAGGCTCTTCGACAGTCTTCTTCTTCTCCTCTTTCGGAGCAGATCTTTGCATAAACTATAGACAGAGAGCATCAATTAACTTTGATTCTCAAATGGGAATGGAAAAAATAACACATTCTTGTCTCTCACCCACAACCCAGATTACTCTAATTAATAAGCAACTAAGAGCCACATGATTGATGATGCAAATTATCCAGTAAAAAATGCAACTTTAGTCCCAAACCAATCTGGTGCTTAGCTCAATGCTTATAAAGGTTGCTTTTTTTTCCAAACTCTAGAAGCCCCAAAGTGAAATCAAGTTCGAATGGGTTATTTATTCGTCTTTAAGAATCGAGCTCCAAAATAAAAAGAGAAGCTCAAAGCAAATTTCAAAATCGAATTCACGTAATAAAGACCAAACCCATTCCGATAATCGAATATATTAACTTCAAATGCTAACCATGTCTGTATATGGATGGATAAAGCTACCTCTAAAGATTACACATACCTTTAGGTTTCTCAGAGTGCTACTAATCTCTCTCTTCGCCATTGTAGCTTTTCTCAAATTTACAAATTATCTCCCCCCAACACGAGATTTCCGGTACCGGAGAGGAGGAACAAGTCGAGTGTTTTTGTTTTCGTTTTTAGGTTTAGTTTCCGATTTGAAGTTCCGTCCAAAAACAGAAAATTTCCAAATTGACAACCCTTGACCTTGAGGCTTGAGGTACGTGGTGAAACCTAACCGATTCAAACCGTACCAAATTGTAAAACTAATTACCAAACCAAAATTCTATTGGTTAAAGAATAAACCCGAATCTAATCTGAAAAACAAGTCAAACGAAGAAGCAACGTCCTTTCGTTTTCTTCGACTGGAGCTCCAAATCCACGATCGAGGTCGGGAGGAGAAAACGATGGATTACCTCGGAATTGATCCGAGCTGCGCGATTGGATCACTCCGGAACGGCGAGTTTCCGGCGAAAGACTGTCTTCTTCCTCTCATTTCGAAGCTGCTCGGTTACTTCCTCGTCGCTGCTTCAATGACCGTCAAGCTTCCTCAGGTTTAATTCAATCAATCAATCAATCAATCTCTATGACTCCTCACTATGCTAACAAAGTCTGTAAAATTGATTGGGACTGTTTGTAGATAAAGAAGATCGTGGAGAATAAGAGCGTGAGAGGCTTGAGTGTTGCGGCATTTGAGCTAGAAGCTGTGGGTTACACAATCTCTCTCGCGTATTGTCTTCACAAGGAGCTTCCTTTCTCAGCTTTTGGTGAAGTTGCTTTCCTTCTGATCCAAGCTTTGATCTTGGTGGCTTGTGTCTACTACTTCTCTGAGCCTCTCTCTGTATCAACTTGGGTCAAAGCAGCTCTCTACTTTGCTCTAGCGCCAACTGTGTTTACTGGTAAGATTGAACCTCTGGTTTTTGAAGGTCTCTATGCGTCGAAGCATTTGATATTTCTTTCCGCGAGGATCCCTCAGATTTGGAAGAACTTCAGAAACAAAAGCACTGGACAGCTTAGCTTCTTGACTTGTTTGATGAACTTGGGTGGATCCATGGCGAGAGTTTTCACAAGCATTCAGGTGAATGCTCCGTTTAGTATGCTTATAGGTATTGTTCTTGCAGTCTTCACCAATGGAATCATCATGAGTCAGATTCTCTTGTATCGGACAAGATGAAAAGAAGAGAAAGCAATAGTGAAAGGTAAAAAGATGTCATGAAACTCATGTACTTCAGCTTTTGTAAAGGAGATTGAACGATGTTTGTACTCAATTTTTTTTATATATTAGCAGATGAATAAACTCAGCTTGTTTCATTACATTCCAATCTCACAATTCTGCAATCTCAAAAAGTTTGTTCTACTCAATAAAAGCTTCAAATTACACTTATTCTTCTCTTAGAAAAGTGAAGTAATCTTCGAGCTATTTTTTGTTACTACTATTCAGCTGCGGAATGTGAGTGAATGTTTGTTTTAGGCGATGGTTTCAATGGCGACCTTTTGCCTGGACCTAATCTCCTCGGCTTTGTCATCAACAGCTTCCCATAGTTCAGGAAGTGCTTCACGTATGTTGTGGATATGCTCCAATGCAATGTCTACTCCTTCCGCTTTGTGTGAGGTCCCAACCTAACCATACAAAAAGAGAAGTTTAGCTTTGAGATTGAGGAGTTTTATTTTTACACTTTATGATTAGTTTACTCACCAATACGGTGTGGAGACCCACGCGTTTCCCAGTTTGAATGTTACGGATGCTGTCATCAAAGAACAACTGAAAAACACCCCGCATGATACTTGGAACTTAGTAAGAGCTTCAGAGATGAAATGGTTGTTTTGGTAGAAATAAACAAAAGCAGTAGATATTTGAATATGTTCTTACTGTCTTATGAGGATTGATGTTGGCCATCTTGAAAACCTGTTCGAATGCTCCTTCAGATGGTTTGCATATGACAGGAGTCTTTGGGAGCTCAATGCTCGGGTCAGGATTTGCAATGTAGCTGCTTATGTCGAAGATTTCTCTGGTTTTAGTATCAGCGGGAGATTCGGTTTTGGTGTTTGGGTTCAGAGTCTCGAATGATATGATTCTTTCAAAGCAGTCCTCTAGGCCTAGCCTGGCAATAATCTTTGCTGCATGAGCCTTGTCTGCATTGGTGAAAACCTGTGGGGAGAAAAAAGAAACATCAGAGAATAAACTGATTGTAAACCAAATCTTAAGAGCTTAGCGACAAGGAGTGAGACACATACAACTTTCCGAATAGGCAAGCTAAGAATAATGTTCCTCAAGATTGGATCAGGCTTCAGTGTTGAGTATGGCAATTTCCCATGAACGAAACTGTGAAACAAAAGAATGAACCTCAGGTCCCAAACACCTTACGCTTTAAAAAATATAATAATAAGCAAATATGAAAATTGGGTTAAGTTCAGTACCTATGGAAATCGTCATAGTCAAAGTCATAACCCACAGCCTGAAAGAATCAACATCAACGAAGGTCATGTGTGCATTAATAAATAACAACAATGGAAGATAATATGGAAGAATGAAAAAAGAATGGTGAAAGAATATACCTTGAGACCAGCCATGGTTGTCCCATAGATTTTATAAAGCGAAAGGCACAGTTCTTGGACTTTATCTTGTTCGATACCAAGTTTCTGAGACATATACTCTAAAAGGCAACAACAACAACAAGAGAAACAACCACAGGTTCAGCTATAACATGAACAACCAACTACTCTTCCAGAGAAGAAGAACAGATGAAATGTGATCAGACTGTACCTTGAATGTTAGTTTTAACTTGCGTAGCCAAACCAGAACTGAATGGGTAGAGAGTATCGTCTATGTCTGTTTGGTACAAGTCGAAACAAATTCTTTTAATCAGAAAACGTTTAAAACTTTTAAACATTCTCAATCATCAAGTTGCAGCAAAGGTTTAATATTCAAATAAAAAGTATTCATTTCCCTTACCAAACAAAAGACAGTCATATTTCGGTTCGGAAATTTGCTGGAAGTTTTCCTCGTACGACATTTTGATTCCAAATCACACCTGTAACAAGATTTTAAACAACTGATGAATCTCCAACACACACATTCCCGAAAAATCATAACTTTAACATCAGATCCCAGGAAAATACTCCCATGAACAATCACCGACGACATATAAACATCTCTAGAGATCTTGGAAAATAATGAAAGTAAGGAACACTCACGAATCGAAATAATCCAGGGCAAAAAACAGAAAAAAAAAAAAACTGAAAAATGCAAAATGCAAAATGTAACTATAACTAAAAGGTAAAGAAATGATGAATCATACAGATCGAAACGGATTACACTGTGCGGGTCGAAACAGTAACGATAACGAAACACTCCACGAAAATGCAGAGAATAAATAAAAAAAAAATAATCAATAGGGGGGCTTACGTTTTTCCGATCAATGAAACTTCGCGAGAGAAGAAAAAAAGAGATTTAGAAGAAATACTTTTTTATATAAATAGGAGAGGAAATGTTAGCCAGACGTCTCAATGGTTCTCAAATGACTCATCATCCATTGGTTGTCGTTAAATCTAGAGAGAAAGCGTTCACTCGCGTCAACATCCACGATTTCTCCGCGTGGCATTTTGCTTTTTCTTTACTTTTCCAACCGAATAATCAAATGACACGCGTTTTTATGACCCGACCAAACACTTTCTCAATACATAACGTGCGCCTTAATTCATGAAATTCGATTCGGTTTTGACAAACAAAAAAAATCATTTCGGTTAACTCTACTGTTGGGTGTACCAGGCCGGTCCATGTGGACCGGATGCTATAATCAGCAATTGACAACATGAGCAGAATGTTATATATGTTACAAAAGAGCATATATATCATGTATGAAGTAAGATACACTTTATAAACCGAAATTACATAGACACCATATATATATATATCAACCGTTGGAACAACAATAAACGGTGTATATATGTGGATATTTTATTTTATCAAATATATATATATATATATGTAAATATCTTGACAAACTAAAAAAACATGCAAAGCTAAGCTTGAACATAAGTTTCAATAGAGATTTGAGCGGTGTAACCAATTCTTTCAGATTCCTTGTTGTTGGATTCCGACCATAATTCCGGAAATGCGTCTTTCATGTTGTGAATGCTTTTCAACGCGTAATCACTTCCTTTCACTTTTTCTGATTTCCCAACCTAAAAGTAAGATTGGAAAATACATAATTTTGATTAAGTAAATTTAAAAAGCCTGGTTCAACAGATAAATATAGATAGGTAACAAGATTTAGTTTGATTGTAACCGGTTCTTACCAGGACGGTATGGAGACCCACGGCTTTTCCGGTTTGGATGTTCCGGGTACTATCGTCGAAGAACAACTGCACAAGAAACATGATCACGTTAGTTAGTTATAAGATAAACCGTGAATGACGAAAATCTAAACAAAAACATGTCTAACTTATATTTAGTTATTTGTTCTTGAAGCTGCTTACGGTTGTGTGAGGATTGAGCTGTGCAACGTCGAAGGCTTTCTCGAAAGCAATCACGGCTGGTTTACAGATAACCGGAATCTCGGGAATGTAGTCTGAAGAAACCTCAGCTTCGTTGATCTTAGGGTTCAAGGTCTCGAAACTTATGATTCTCTCAAAACAATCTTCGATGCCGAGTCTCTTTAGTGCCTTCGTCACATGAACTTCATCTCCATTGGAGAAAACCTTAACAAAAGAAAACGGAACCCATTTTGTCATTAGTATACAAATATATACAAACTGAACGAAGCAGAAATAAAAAAATAAAGAAGGTATAATGTATGTACCAATTTTCGAAAAGGTAAAGTAAGGAGGAGATTTCTCAGAACCGGGTCCGGTTTAAGGTTTTCATAAGGTAATCTTCCATGAACAAACCTGTGGTAATCATCATTATCGAACTCATAACCTACCGCCTGCATTAGTTATCAGTTTAATTAAAAAATTTATCAACCATAAACCATTGTTATGTAATTAATTATGTGATGGTGCAAGTATTTGTAATTCTAGTGATAATCAAATTCCGGGATGAGTAATATATTGACGAAGGTATTACCTTCAGACCAGCCATTGAAGTTCCATATTTTTTGTAGAGAATTTGGTTTAGTTCAACGACTCCATCTTCATCTATTCCAAGCTTCTCAACCATGAATTCTGCACAAGATGAATTTGGTGAATTTCATGATTTTTTTTTCTTCTCCATATGAAATATTAAAAATGTTAATAATTGTAATCAGAATAATAATCTCCAAGGAAATACTACCTATGATGTTGTTGGCGCATGCTTCCGATAAACCAGAGCTTAAAGGATAAAGAGTATCATCCAAATCTGTTGTAAACAAAACATAAAGATATATAGATCAATCGATTGTTGATTGCTTCCAATTTTTCTATTAAAATAAAACATTAGCTAGCAGAACTTCTTACCAAAGAGGAGGCATTCATATCTTGTTGTAGAGCTGTTCACAAATTCCATATTTCTTCAGAAACTGCAAAATGTGTGATGGGTTAAAAAAACAAAAGAAAAAACAAAAGAAAGAACAATCCAAATTTAAATTTGGGTTTAGAAGAAGCAATTTACCTCAAATAAAAGAAGAGAGAAATAATAGACGAGACAGAAAGAAATGATGGTTGAAGAGAAAATACTTGATGAAGAAAAGAAGAGAATGCAGATGCGTTTATATAAGAATCAATTAAACGCGTGTGAACTTTAAAAATCACAGATAATGACCAGCTTTTGTATTAATTAATATCTAGACGCCGAGTACTTTATCTTCTTTGTTTAACCAGCTCCATTATTGTAACTACTATAAACTAACATTTATGGTTATATAAATGGTTCTCTTGATTCCCTTTGATCTGCAATTCAAAAAACTAATGAGATAAATTGCACTAATCAATAAGCATTATATCCTACCAAAAAAATCAATAAGCATTATAAAGTCCACGCGTCAATAATTACACATCGTTCTCTTGATCATGTCACGTTTTCCATTTTATTTAAGACGAAAGTAAGTAAAAAGGATTTGTGAGATATTCTTGACCAAGATTTTTCTCTGTTTCCTTCTGTTTAATATTGTAAGACTGATATATGTGGACGAACCGGGTCACATTTAAAAAGAAAGACCCAAATGTTTTACTTATTACTTAACCTCTTAAATC